ACAGACTTGGAGTGGTGTTTTGTTTCATTCACACATGTTTGGTCATGGTTATTGATGATTCTAGTGAAGATATTTGGATTTAAAAACACAGTGGAGCACTTCCTGTATTACCACATAACCTCACAAGATGAACAGTGTTTTCTGTTTGAGAAAAGAACTCAGACTAAATCTGCAGAGTTTGTGTTAAACATGTGTTTTTAAACTCCACACATCTTCAGTAGAATTTGGATCATTTAGATGGTTTCAGCCCGGGATTTGTTTCTGCTGAATTAAAAGTAAAAGGAGCTGTTCACTTGAAAAACTACCACTTCATTACATTGATTTATTGATTTAATAGGGACAGTGCATATTAATGAACATCTACAACACTGCAGCGGAAATATGACAGATTATAGCAAAAATGTTCATTTCCATCTGTCGTCCCTGAGCAGGTGACACCACATTTAACAACAAAAACACTAACATGTGACTATAGCAACAGTGCTACAATAAAAGTGTCCACAAGTCTGGTTTTCCTTTAGCCTGTTTCAAGAGGGATTTTAAAGTGTCCAGTGTTGGAGTCTCTCTTATTGATAATGGGAGAATGTTCCAGAACTTAGTGCTTCTGACTGAGACACACTTTGTCCAAATGTGGTGCGTCTGTGTGGAGCTCACAGTTCCTCCGGGCTGTGGTCTTAGTTCTCATCCCACTGACGGTCTTTGTGTTAATAAAACGCTGTGTAACGGAACATCATAAGGTGGAACAGAGCATTTAGAGCTTTGGAGATGTCGACAGACTACATTCTAACATGACTTTAAAGCTCACACTTTGCATAATAAAAAGACTTTAAAGTCACTTGTTCAGAAATGTGCTGCTTGTTTGTGTGGAGTTTTTGAGTTTAACTGTGACTTTGTGGAAATTACCAGAGTCTCAAAACATAACCAAAAGTTCTGGAATTCCCAGGATGAGAATTTGATCCAGGATCATAACAGGTCTAGACAAAGACCAAGACTGAAACCAAAACAAGGTCTCGAAAGACTTAACTGAACAAATAAAACACTCTGAAATCTGAATTCTTTCTGTTCTGACCATAATGATTCAAACTAAGATCTTGCCTTAAAAAAGAAAAGAATATTATTATATTATATTGTTATATTTATATTTATATATGTAGTTTATATGGGGTTGTCACCTGCTTATATCCATGAAGGTACATGTGTTTAAGTTTTGACCTTTAAATCAAAAAAAGTTCTGTTCTGCACCTTTAAAAAATGAGAAAGTGCAAATTATCATTATTTTCTATTGACCATAAGAGCAGTGTCAGAGAGAATGAGAAAGCATTTCTGTGTGAAGAGGAGGAGAGGGGGAGGGAGGGACAGGAGGATACCGTTCTGTGTTGGGACGGGGCCTTAACAATTATTCTAACCCCTAACCCTAACACAGATTCTAACCCTAACCCTAACCCTAACCCTAACCCTGACCCTGATTCTGAAGAAGGGTGAACTACCACCCGTAACGTAGTTCTGGAGGCACTTTTTTCATTTATTTTCTTTTTTGTATATAGTTATTGTAAATTGCACATAGTTAATTTAAATAATTAAAAAGACAAAAAAATGTAAAAAACTAAAAACCAAAAAAACTTAAATAGTTCAAAACAAGAATGTCTGGGTGGACCCTCATCCACTCCAGACGATCTAGGCTGCAGTCCCGTGGGCGGGGTCCGAAGCGTTCAACCACCGGGGGGTGTTGTGCTGGCGTCCGAGTTGGAGCCCATGCACCACCCGTTCCCGGCTGGGGATGGGGCTCTAACTTTTTTTTTTTCTGCGCTGAACCTCGAAGGAGCAACAACTCTCCTCTGCTCAGCCACAGAACCCGTGTGCCTCGAGCTTGAAGAAGGGTGGACTACCACCTGAAACGTTGTTGAGAGGCACAATTTTTATTTTAAATTATATTTTTTGTTTGAATTTTTATTTAATTTTATTATTATTATTAAAATAAAATAAAATAAAATAAATAATAAACAAAAAAATATTGAATTTAAAATTTGAAAATGGAGTCTGGATGGACCAACGTCCACTCCAGATATTCGAGGCATCGGACCCATGGGCTGAGTCTGTGTCTTTTGAGTGGCGGGTGTGAAGGGCCGTCACCCGTGCGAGAGCCCATGCATCACCCATTCTCAGCTGGGGACGGGACCCTAAGCATTCTAACCCTAACCCCAATATTCCTGAACAAATTAAGAGTTTTTCTCTTTCAGACTGAGTTTCTGCTTTTGTCGGCATCACCAACTTTTCACATTCGTTGTTAAACACCAAAAAATCTTTTGAACAAATCACGGATGATTTTAATTTTCCTGTTAAGGATTTCCACAAATACTTTCAAATTTAAGATTTTATCTGATCCTTTTTACAAGGAAATAAATGTAGAGTCAGTCCGATCTGGAACAATCTTACCATCTGTTCAACATAACACAACAACACAACCACACACACAACAACACAACCACACACACACACAACACACACACAACAACACACAACACACAACACACAACAACACAACCACACAACACACACAACACACAACAACACAACCACACAACACACAACAACACAACACACACACACACACAACACACACACACACACAACACAACACAACAACACACAACACACACACACAACACACAACACAACAACACAACACAACACACAACACACAACACACAACAACACACACAACACACAACAACAACACACACACAACAACACAACACACACAACACAACACACACACACAACAACACAACCACACACACAACAACACAACCACACAACACACAACAACACAAACAACACAACACACAACAACAACACAACACAACACAACACACACAACACACACACACACACACAACACACAACACACAACAACACACACAACACACACAACAACAACACAAACACACAACAACACAACACACACAACACACACACACACACACAACAACACACACACACACACAACAACACAACACACAACAACAACACACACACACACACAACAACACACACAACACACAACACAACAACACAACACACACAACACACACAACACACAACAACACACAACACACACACACACAACACACACACACACAACACACACCACACAACACACAACACACAACACACAACAACACAACAACACAACCACACACACACACACAACACACACACACACAACACACAACACACAACACACAACACACACAACACAACACACACACACACACAACAACAACAACAACACACAACAACACAACACACAACAACACAACCAACACACAACACACAACACAACCACACAACAACACAACAACACACACACACACAACAACACACACAACAACACAACACACAACACACAACAACACACACACACAACAACAACACAACAACACAACACACAACAACACAACAACACAACAACACACAACACACACAACACAACACACACAACACACACAACAACACACACACACACAACACAACACACAACAACACAACCACACAACACACAACAACACAACACACAACAACACAACAACACACAACAACACAACACACACACACAACACACAACAACACACACAACAACAACACACACACACAACACACACACACACACACACACACAACAACACACAACAACAACAACACACACAACAACAACACACACACAACAAACACAACAACACAACACACACACACACACACAACACAACAACACACACAACACACACACAACACAACACACACAACACACAAACACACAACAACACAAACACAACACAACACACACACAACAACACACAACAACACAACACACAACAACACAACCACACAACACACAAAACACACACACACAACACAACACACAACACACAACAACAAACACACAACACAACACAAACAACAACACACACAACACAACACAACACAACACACAACACACAACAACACAACAACACAACCACAACAACACACAACACACAACACAACACACAACAACACAACCACACAACCACACAAGCTCCTGTGGGAATCATCTGCAAATGACCCACAACCAAAAAGAATGTGGCGTTTTTACCTGTTCATGTTGTGTATCTGTTCATGTTGTGTATCTGTTCATGTTGTGTATCTGTTCATGTTGTGTATCTGTTCATGTACACAGACACACACACACACAGTGTTTTTGAATTCAAACATCACGACCATTTGCAAAGTACGAAGGATCTAATCCTCTTACAGACTTTTAATACAGTTTTTAAATAAACTCAAAGCTTTAAATAAATTCTTAACCAACATTTAACTCTTAATAAAATAATGCATTTACTCTTTGGGTTAATCTAGAATGTGTTTTAGAGTGTGGGGGAAAGCATCTGCATATTTTATTATAATGACAATATAATTATTATTTGTTATGAATGAACAAGACAGTTGAATGACCACACAGACTTTTCTTCACTTTTATTGCTGTCATGAGATTGAAACAGAGTTTCAGTCGTGCTTCAGGGTCAGAGTTTCAGTCGGGCTTCAGGGTCAAAGTTTCAGTCGGGCTCTTAAGACGTTGTAATGGATTCGGTTGTCCACCAGATGTCACCGTCACTTAAGTATTGAAGCTCTGAATCTTTTTCGTTACAATTGTTTGGAAAGTCCCAGTGCTTCATGAATCTTCACTTGCCCACCACGTATTATATTATGAGGCAATTAAGGTGTTTACCCGTTAAAAATAAACGTAAATGTGAACAGTTTGATTTTTACAGAGTCAAACCCAAGCCCCCAGGTTCCAAAATGGCCGTACCCCTGATCACAGTTTAGCCTAGCATGGCTAGGTACTTCCGGTGGCTGTGGGCCGACCGAGCATGCGCAGTAGTACTCTTTTCTCCCACGGGCACACGCGAATGTACGCGGCCACACATGGATCCGGAGCGCGGACTCGTGTATCACGTGATCGCTTTGACCAATCAGAGCGAGAGGAGCTAGGAGCGGAGCCGGAGCTAACGAATATAAAGCGTTTTTTTAAGACGACTGAAGGATTTTGAGCGAGAAAAAGTTTATGATCTAAAAATAGGTAAAAATCGCCAACAAATCCGATATTTTTGAAAGCTGTAGGTCCCTGTCAGACAAACACGAGCAGTTTGTGTTCACACTGACTCTATGAAAAAAATCTTGTCTCGGCCCATGGGACTTTTTCTGCTGAAGTTCCAGTGAGACACGACGACACCTGGAGGCCGAAACAAGCAACAAAACTGTATCCAGTTATTTTAATAGATCCATGGTCAAAACAGGCCGTGTCTCTGCGTGCGCTCTTATTGGCTGCTGCGGAGAGAGCGTGGGTGCGTCATCAGGGCAGCGGCGGAACAGTGTTTCCGCTTCCGGGTCATTTTTGTTTTTAAACAGAATTCAGTGCACGACCTTAACCCCGCAGACCCGAGCCCCGCAGACCCGAGCCCCGCAGACCCGAGCCCCGCAGACCCGAGCCCCGCAGACCCGAGCCCCGCAGGACCGTGCAAACATGCACCGGCCTCCGGGCAGAGCGCAGCACAGTCCCGGCTTCAGCCCCGGCCACAGGGCCTCTCCGCGGGGCTGGACACCGACACACGGCGGCCGGTACAGCGGCTCTCCTCGCTTCTCTCCGGGGCCGTACGGAGGAGAAGGCCGGGACTTTGGCCGAGGGGCTCCGTGCTTCTCGCCCCCGAGGTTTCAGGGGGGGTCGCCGCGGGGACGTGGAGCTCTGTCCCCGGGCTGTGGCGCCGGAGCCTCGCGGTTCAGAGGCAGGAACAGAGGAGGCTTCAGTCCCGGAACCGGAGCCAGGAACCAGGTGAGACCCAGAGAGAAACTGTAGACTGAACCCATGTGTGTGTGTTTGTGTGCGTTTGTGTGCGTTTGTGTGCGTTTGTGTGTGTGTGTGTTTGTGTGTGTGTGTTTGTGTGTGTTTGTGTGTGCGCTTGTGTGAACTCGTGATTTTAATCCCAGACTGTTCCGCAGGAGGACGCATCTGTGGAGAGTTACTTTCGTCCGAACATGCTCCAGGACCCGTGGAAAAACCTGAGTCCAGTCTCTAAAGACCAGCTCCAGACCAGGACTAGACCAGGACTAGACCAGGACTAGACCAGGACTAGACCAGGACTAGACCAGGACTAGACCAGGACCATCTCGAGAAAACCTTGGATCGTTTTTAAAGTTTGAAGTTTATGTATTTTAATCCCTGTTTTTATATATTTATATATAAAAGAGAACATTTCATTTGTGTTTTTAAACTGTTTATTCTTTTGGATTAAAATCATTTTGGAAAAAAATGAAACAGTCTCAAATTTTATTTTATTGAAACCAGAGTGCGCATGCGCACCATGCGAGCACCCGGAAGTGTAGTCCAGAGCAGCACGGATCAGGCAGGTGAGTTTAACCCGATTAAAACTGAGTTAAACCGGGACTGGTCCGGAGCCGGGTCCGGACCGGAGTCCGAGCCGCGCGGCCGGGACACGTGGGTCTGCGGGGGGCTGTTTGTGTGGAAGTTTGTCTCATGTTTGTGGTTTTCAATGAACTCAGAGAATGAAGCGTCTTTTAGGTGTTGGACCCGTGGACTTTTGGAAACGTTCACAGAAGGAACTGTGTGTGAGATTTAGATTCCATAAAAATGACACTGAGAAGTAAACATATTCAGATAAAATAGAACTGATTTGTTCTTGATAATCACACAAACGTTGGACATGAGTCTTCAAGTTTAAACTTTAGATTCTTCTGGACAGACGTGTTTGTGTCAGATCCACATTCCGCCCACACTCTGCTCTGGTGCCACAAGGAAACTGGTGTGTTAGAGTTAAATATGTTATGTATATGTATATTCAGTGTCGGGAGTAACAGATTACATGTACCAGAGTAATCAGAGTACAAATGATGAGTAACTGTATTCAGTTTCAGTGAGTCGTAATTGGATTACAGTTACTTTGTTGAAATAAATGATTATACGGCGGGATTTTCCTGTTTTCACATTTTGGGATATATATATATATATATATAGATAGATAGATAGATATATTTTGTAATTCCACTCATTGCTGGACACTAAACCAGGTCTAAACCAAGACTACACCAGGTCTAAACTATGTCTCAAACAGGATTTAACAGGACTAAATCCTGCTGCGTGGACCGCGTCTCCTTCTCTTCTATCAATAATATTTTTAATTTGGTTCAGTAAAGTTTGGGCTTTTTATTTTCTTTTAGCAAACAAAATGTCTTATGTTACGATTTCCTCGTCTTTGCTTCTCTTCAGCAAATCAAGTAATCCAAAGTATTCAGATTACGTTACTAATTTTAAGTAATTTATTGGATTATGTTACAAACTACATTTTGGGGGATGTAATTTGTAATCTGTAGGGGATTACATTTTAAAAATCACCTTCCCAACACTGTGTATATATATTTATATATATATTTATATGTATGTAAATATATGTGTGTGTGTGTATGTGTGTATATATATATATATATATATATATATATATATATATATATATATATATATATATATATATATATAATGATGTATGCTCCAGGTGAGATGTCCAAGTCACATGACCCTTGGCAAGACGCCATGGACCACGCCGTCGCTGTGGCCCGTAAATCAGGAGAGGTTAGTCCAGAACCTTCTAGGCCTGTTCAGATCCTCCTTTAGACCTGTTCAGATCCTCCTTTAGACCTGGTCTCTGCAGATAATCCGAGAGGCGGTTCAGAACCAGGACCGGTCCAGTTTGGTCCAGACCAAGTCCTCGGCTGTGGACCTCGTCACAGAAACTGATCAGAAAGTGGAGCAGCTCATCATCCAATCAGTGAAGAGCAAGTTTCCCTCCCACAGGTATACCCCGCCCCAGACTCTCAACTGTCAATCACGATGACAGAGACAGGAGAGAGCCAATCAGAAACCACTGCCTCTCCTGTGGGCGGGGCCACAGTGGACCTGACTACTGACCCATAACCTCTGACCCCTAACCTTTTAAAAGTCGTATCTGACTCGTGCTGCAGGTTCATCGGGGAGGAGTCTGTGTCATCTGGGGAGCTCTGTGTCCTGACCTCTGACCCCACCTGGATCATCGACCCCATCGACGGCACCACCAACTTCGTCCACGGGTGAGGATCTAAAAACAGCTGTTCAGATTGGAGCACAGAAGGATGGTAACAGTTTAGGGGATAAAAAATGGACATTAATTTCATTTTCAAAGAGAAAAGAGACCTTCAAGGAATATTCTTCAACATTTTACTTGCTCACGTTTTATCCATAAAAACGCAGCGTTAGGGTTAAGTGTAGGTCACATGTTTCTGTCACATGTTTCTGTAGTAGAACCTGGAAACTTCACGCTGGGCTCAATCAGACTCAGACATATCAGAGCGATAAGACATTTGAAATGTAAAATTTAAAACAGGTCACCACACACTACAATATTTTTGTCTTAAACGATTTTTAAACATGCAAGAATGTTTGGGTTTGGTTTCCCCCATCAACGCAACCCAAAACATGCTACAGGTCTCCAGGAAGAACAGTGGATAGTCAAGGTCAGTTAAATACAATCGATCAGTGAACCTGCCCAGGGACGACAGGTGGAAATTAACACTGATGCTACAACCTGGAACAAACACCTCTCCTGTTAAGGTTAATGTAAAAAATGTGCGCTGTCCCTGACTCATTAATTAAATAAATAAATAAATGAATAAGAAACAGCACACAGACACGAGGAGAATCTGATGACACTTAAATACTCCAGTGGGATCTGTCTGTGAAGCGCAGGATTTAAATCTGTGAGCACTGTGATGGCGTCAGCTGTTTCCCATTTACAGTAAAACCACTCAGTTTGGAACTCTGAAGTGTTCAAAGATCAGAGCTCTGCACTTTTAGTTTAGATACAAGTCAAAACTGTTTTATTATTATTTATGAAATGTGGTGCAATACTTCAGATGCAGGATTTTAAAAGTATAAAGATTGTAGATAAAGTATACACTTTTTTACTTTCAAAGAACGCCTCAGACTGGATGCACAGCGTGGTTTTGTGGACTGGGGTCATTATTTGAAGTGGACAGTTTCTATGGATATTGTGGATGTGGATGCACTTTAAATTTACCACTTTACGAGAGGTGATGAATGAAGGTTTCTCATTATTTCCACTATTTCCTTAGGGTTAGGGTTAGTGTTAGTGTTTTGCATCTCTTTGTCTGTTAGAGGAACACAAACGGTATCCTATGTGTCATTAGGTCGAAGGAAATAGTGTAATTTTAATTGTGTTGGGTTCGGACACAAATATCTTAATGCCTGTCGGGCTTGGGGTGGATTCGATCACTGTTTTGTTGGATGTGGGCTGGGCTCAGACAGAAAAAAAACTGTTTCACATGTTTCTGTTACATGTTTTGTAAAAGTTTCCTGTTCATGTCGTTAAAGGTACCCGTTTGTCGGAGTGTGCATCGGCTTTGCTGTCAATCAACAGGTGAGACACACCCCCGACACAGAGACACACTGAGACACACAGAGACACACAGACACACAGAGACACACAGACACACACAGACACACACAGAGACACACACAGAGACACACAGACACACACAGACACACACACACAGAGACACACACAGACACACACAGAGACACACACAGACACACACAGAGACAGACACACACAGACACACACAGACACACACAGACACACAGAGACACACAGACACACACACACACAGAGACACACACAGACACACACACACACAGACACACAGAGACACACACAGACACACAGACACGCTGAGACACACAGACACACTGAGGCACACACAGACACACACAGACACACACAGACACACACAGAGACACACAGAGACACATACAGAGACACACTGAGGCACACAGAGACACACACACACACACAGAGACACACACACAGAGACACACAGACACAGACACACAGAGACACACAGACACACAGACACACAGACACACACAGAGACACACAGACACAGACACACAGACACACACACACACAGACACACACAGACACACAGACACACAGACACACAGACACACAGACACACAGACACACAGAGACACACACACACAGACACACACACACAGACACACACACACACAGACACACAGACACACACACACACAGACACACACATACAGAGACACACAGACACACAGACACACACAGAGACACACACAGACACACACAGACACACACAGACACACACAGACACACAGACACACACAGACACACACAGACATACAGAGACACACAGACACACACAGAGACACACAGACACACACAGACACACAGACACACAGACACACAGAGACACACAGACACACAGACACACAGACACACAGACACACACAGACACACAGACACACAGAGACACACACACACAGAGACACACACACAGAGACACACTGAGACACACAGAACACACACAGAGACACACTGACATACAGAGACACACACACACACACACAGACACACAGACACACACACACAGACACACAGACACACACAGACACACAGAGACACACTGAGACACACACACACACACAGACACACAGACACACACAGAGACACACAGAGACACACCCACTCTGCACATTTACATTTGTGTCTACATTTACATTAATTTATTGCTTATTTTAATCTGTGTTCTGCAAACGTCTTTGAGTGTCCTGGAAAACGCTATAGAAATATTTGTTATTCATACATTTATATTTGCGTCCACGCCGCAGGTGGAATGGGGCGTGGTCTACAGCGCCATCGAAGACAAAATGTTTACAGCCCGAAGAGGACGAGGGGCCTTTTGTAACGGGCGCCCCCTACAGGTGTCCCCACAAACAGGTCTCACGAGTCTTATTTCATAAAGAGTGGATAATAAAACTGTTATAATTATGACCTGATATTATAAATATGGGTTATTATAAATCTGAGCTGGAGTAACAGTCTGTGACTCTCAGACGTGCACCGGGCGCTGGTGGCCACAGAGTTCGGCTCCAGCAGAGACCCTCAAGTCGTCGATAAGATCTTCAGCAGCCTCCGGAAAGTCCTGTCTCTGCCGGTGCATGGGTGTGTCCTACACACTACAAATTACACCTACACACTAGACCCTACACACTACAGACTACACACTACACCCTACACACTAACCCTACAGAGTACACCCTACACACTACAGACTACACACTACACCCTACACCCTACACACTACAGACTACACCTACACACTACACCTACACACTACAGACTACACCCTACACACTAACCCTACAGAGTACACCCTACACACTACAGACTACACACTACACCCTACACACTACACACTACACACTACAGACTACACACTACACCCTACACACTACAGACTACACACTACACCCTACACACTACCCTACAGACACCCTACACACTACAGACTACACACTACACCCTACACACTACAGACTACAGACTACAGACTACACCCTACACACTACAGACTACACACTACACCCTACACACTACACACTACACCTACACACTACACACTACACCCTACACACTAACCCTACAGAGTACACCCTACACACTACAGACTACACACTACACCCTACACTACAGACTACAGACTACAGACTACACCCTACACCTACACACTACACTACACACTACACCCTACACACTACACCCTACACACTACACACTACACCCTAGACTACACCTACACTACTACACTACAGACTACACACTACACCTACACCCTACACACTACAGACTACACCCTACACCTACACACTACACACTACACACTACAGACTACAGACTACACACTACAGACACCTACACACTACACACTACACACTACAGACTACACACTACAGACTACACCCTACACTACAGACTACACACTACAGACTACAGACTACACACTACACCCTACACTACAGACTACACACTACAGACTACACACTACACCCTACACCCTACACACTACAGACTACACACTACACCCTACACACTACAGACTACAGACTACACCCTACACCCTACACACTACAGACTACACACTACAGACTACAGACTACACACTACAGACTACAGACTACACACTACACCCTACACCCTACACACTACACACTAACCCTGAGGACAGTCCTGTCTCTGCTGGTACACGGGTTTGTGTCCTATCACACTTTACAAAGTACACACTACAGGCTACACACTAACCCTACACACTAACCCTACACACTGTAAGGTGCGTGGTGTTGTAAGTGTAGTTACTCTCTTGTCCTGTAGGGTGTTGTAAGTGTAGTTACACTTAGGGGTGGGCGATATATCGATATTTTAAATATATCGAGATAGTTTTTAAAATCGATATGAATTCTGACATATTGTATATATCGATATAATGCTTATATTTAATTTTGATTTCGCTGCTTCGCTTGTTTACCTTCTCTCTCGTCGCCCCCGCCTCCCTGATTTTGTTCGCTCGTGTCTCCTTCACTCGTCACTGTCGCCGTGAATGCCCAAAGTTGGTGCCAGTGAAAAGCTTCAAGCACCACGAACCTTTTCCATCATTTACAGACAAAACCACGAGCAGCACATCCTCATGTTCCACCGAGTCGCGTCCTTTAGCCCGAAAGAAGCTAAATGAGCTGAGCTGCAGGAGAAGTGCTGTTTATGCAAATGAGCCATGAGCTTAAATTTCGTTTCTGTAAAATGTAAACACACGTGAGCAAAACTGCATTAAACACATTATTATCTCAAACGGGCTGATGTGGATCTATAGTCGTTATCCTTTATATCTTGTAAAGTTTAACAATGTAAAGTTTATTTATGCAGAATATTTTAATGAATAATCTGTTGCAGTGTCACTTGTACAACAGTGTTTGGAAACATTGGGTTTGATCTGCAGTGGATTGTGGGATTAAACCTCAGAGCTCCTGACGCTGGATATGGATCTATTAAAATAAGGAACATCCTGAGCTTCTTCTGCTAAATGAGCTCATGGTTCTGGTTCTGGTTTGGATAACAGAGTTAATGCAAAGATGAGCTTGTGTTGAGTTGTTTTATCTATGAAGGAAAAGAAGGAAATATGTTTTATTTCTTTTATTTTACAGTTAAATTATTATTTATGTAATTAGGGTTTTTTGTAATCTTAAATGTTCCGATATGAACTGTCAACCTCTTACACTTCAATTTAAAAAAAATTGGCAGATTTGTTTTTACAGTTTTCAGTTTTAGGGGGTTATTTTTTCTTGAACATATATCAAGATATATATCGTATATCGAGATATAGCAAAATATATCGAGATATATTTTTTGATCCATATCGCCCAGCCCTAGTTACACTCCTGTCCTGTAGGGTGCGTGGTGTTGTAAGTGTAGTTACACTCCTGTCCTGTAGGGTGTTGTAAGTGTAGTTACACTCCTGTCCTGTAGGGTGCGTGGCGCTGGCTCTGCTGCTCTGAACATGTGCGCTGTGGCTCTTGGGTCTGTGGAGCTTTATTATGAAACGGGGATCCACATTTGGGACTTCGCCGCAGCTTCAGTGATCGTCACCGAAGCCGGAGGCGTCCTGAGAGACACAACAGGTACACACACTACACACTACACACACTACACACTACACACACTACACACACTACACACTACACACTACACACAACACTATACACACTACACACACACACACACTATACACACTACACACACTACACACACACACACTACACTACACACTACACTACACACACTATACACACTACACACAACACTATACACACTACACACTACACACTACACACTACACACACACACACACTATACACACTACACACACACACTATACACACTACACACACACACACTATACACACTACACACACACACACACACACTATACACACACACTAACACACTAACACACTACACACATACACACTACACACTACACACTACACACAACACTATACACACTACACACTACACACACTACACACTAACACTACACACTATACACACTACACTACACACTATACACACTACACACAACACTATACACACTACACACTACACACACACACTATACACACTACACACTACACACACACACACACTATACACACTACACACACAACACTATAACACACACACACAACACACTATACACACTACACACTACAACACAACACTATACACACTACACACTACACACTACACACACACACTATACACACTACACACACACACACACTATACACACTAACACACAACACTATACACACTACACACTACACACACACACTATACACACTACACACACACTACACACACACTATACACACTACACACTATACACACTACACACACACTATACACACACTACACACAACACTATACACACACTACACACACACACACACTATACACACTACACACACACTATACACACTACACACACACTACACACTATACACACACACTACACACTACACACTATACACACTACACACAACACATACACACTATACACACTACACACACACTACACACACACACACACTATACACACTACACACACACACACACACACACTATACACACTACACACAACACTACACACTACACACACACTACACACACTACACACTACACACTATACACACTACACACACTACACACTATACACACTACACACACACACACAACACTATACACACACTACACACACACTACACACTACACACACACACACACTATACACACTACACACAACACACTATACACACACTACACACACACACACACTATACACACTACACACTACACACTATACACACTACACACACACACACACTATACACACTACACACTACACACACACTACACACACACACTATACACACTACACACACACTATACACACTACACACAACACTATACACACTACACACAACACTATACACACTACACACAACACTATACACACTACACACAACACTATACACACTACACACAACACTATACACACTACACACACTACACACAACACTATACACACTACACACAACACTATACACACTACACACAACACTATACACACTACACACAACACTATACACACTACACACAACACTATACACACTACACACAACACTACACACTACACACAACACACACTACACACAACACTACACACTACACACACACATATACACACTACACACTACACACACACACACACACACACTACACACTATACACACTACACACACACTACACACACACACTATACACACTACACACACACACTATACACACTACTACACACTACACACTACACACACTACACACACACTATACACACTACACACTACACACTACACACACACTATACACACTACACACACACACACTACACACTACACACACTACACACACACACACACACAACACTATACACACACTACACACAACACTATACACACTACACACACACACACACTATACACACTACACACACACACACACTATACACACTACACACACACACTATACACACTACACACTACACACACACTATACACACTACACACACACTACACACTACACACTATACACACACACTACACACACACACACACTACACACTACACACTATACACACTACACACAACACACTATACACACTACACACACACATACACTATACACACTACACACAACACTATACACACTACACACACACACACACTACACACTACACACTACACACTACACACTACACACAACACTATACACACACACTATACACACTACACACAACACTATACACACTACACACACACACACACTATACACACTACACACAACACTACACACTATACACACACTACACACACACACTATACACACTACACTACACACACACACACTATACACACTACACACACAACACACAACACTATACACACTAACACACACACTATACACACTATACACACAACACTATACACACTACACACACAACACACACACTATACACACTATACACACACAACACACTATACACACTACACACTACACACTACACACTACACACAACACTATACACACTACTACACACACACACACTATACACACTACACACAACACTATACACACTACACACAACACTATACACACTACACACAACACACACACTATACACACTACACACACACACACTATACACACTACACACACACACAACACTATACACACTACACACAACACTATACACACTACACACAACACTATACACACTACACACTACACACAACACTATACACACTACACACAACACTATACACACTACACACAACACTATACACACTACACACTATACACACTACACACAACACTATACACACTACACACAACACTATACACACTACACACAACACTATACACACTACACACAACACTATACACACTACACACTACACACTACACACACACACACACTATACACACTACACACACACAACACTATACACACTACACACAACACTATACACACTACACACAACAGTATACACACAGTGACGTCTGTGCTCCTTCAGGGGGCGCTGTGGACCTCATGTCGCGCAGAGTCGTCGCTGCCAACAACGAAACCATAGCAACAAGAATCATCAGCGAGTTGGACGTGTACTCCCCCGAGAGAGACGACGGAGCGCCCCACGGAGCGCCCCACGGAGCGCCCCACGCGCCCCACGGAGCGCCCCACGGAGCACCTGAATGAGCACACACACAGACAGACACACACACACAGACACACACACACACAGACACACACACACACACACAGACACACACAGACACACACACACACACACACGACACACACACACAGACACACACACACAGACACACACACACACACACACACACACACACACACACACACACACAGACACACACACACAGACATACACACACACAGACACACACACACACACACACACATACACACACACACACACACAGACACTGTTGGCGTCATGGAATTATAATAAAATCTGGAGGTGAATCCAAAATGGCGTCGTGTTTTTAGTGTCTTCACTGTTTCGCCCAAAAACATTTTGTTCTTTATTTGTTTTTGGAGAGTTTCCCCAATTAAACCGAGTTTAGGTAAATGTGGAGAATTATTTAACAAAAATATGAAGAGCAGACTGAGGATGAGGAGGATGAAGAGAAGACTGAGGATGAAGAGGATGAAGAGCAGACTGAGGATGAAGAGCAGACTGAGGATGAGGAGGATGAAGACAGACTGAGGATGAAGAGGATGAGGAACAGACTGAGGATGAAGAGGATGAAGAGCAGACTGAGGATGAAGAGGATGAGGAGCAGACTGAGGATGAAGAGCAGACTGAGGATGAAGAGCAGACTGAGGATGAAGAGGATGAAGAGCAGACTGAGGATGAAGAGGATGAAGAGAAGACTGAGGATGAAGAGGATGAGGAGCAGACTGAGGATGAGGAGGATGAGGAGCAGACTGAGGATGAAGAGAGACAGACTGAGGATGAAGAGGATGAGGAGCAGACTGAGGATGAAGAGCAGACTGAAGATGAAGAGCAGACTGAGGATGAAGAGGATGAGGAGCAGACTGAGGATGAAGAGCAGACTGAGGATGAAGAGGATGAGGAGCAGACTGAGGATGAAGAACAGACTGAACTGTTTACTTTAACACTGTGTCCTGCACAATAAAAAATCCAAACTCCAAATGGAAAAGGCAGATGAGTTTCTCAGGCAGAAGATCAGGCCGATCGTCCTGAAGCCTGAAGAGAAGTTTATGAACAGAAGCCGAGCTCCTCACAAACACCTTCGCTTCAGCAGAAGCTTTCAGGACCAGCGAGATGAGGGCCACTAAAGTCATGAAAAACCTTGGGGGACCAGAGATGTTTCCAAACATCAGGGACGATGTGAAGAGCGAGAAACGGAGGAAATTCAGCAAATTCAATCGTGAAGAAAAAGTTTAGTCACAAAAATCATTTGAACCAAATCTCAGATAAAAACTATTCAGTTCATTTGCAAACTTTCCTCTCTCCTCCTCTTCCTCTCTCTCCTCCTCATCGTCATCAGCTGGCTTCGGTCACGTGACCTGCCGCGCTCACGTGACCGTGTAATCCTCGTCCTCGCGCTCAGGATCAGAGCTGAAAATGGCGGAGCTAAAAAGCGGCATCTTCGCCAAAAATGTGCAGAAAAGAATCAACCGCGCGCAGGAGAAGGTGAGTCTCAGGACCGGGTCTGGACCGGGCCTGGGCCGGGCCTGGGCCGGGCTTGGACCGGGCCTGGGCCGGGCTTGGACCGGGCTTGGACCGGGCCCGGACCGGGCTTGGACCGGGCCCTGACCTGGTCTGGACCGCGGAGATCACCGCGGGTCTGGACGGGCACGAGGCTCGTCTCCTGCAGCTCTGGTTCCGGTCCGTGTTTTGGCCCGGTTCTGTCTGGTTTGTCCCGCTTTGATCGGGTTTGTGTGTGTGTGCGTCACGTGACCGCGCGGTCTCTGTCCGTGGTGCTGAAGCATCGGGAGCGCGCACAGAGCTCAGTTCGGCTCTGAATCGGCTCTGAATCGGGTATGACTCGGTCTGACTCGGGTATGACTCGGTTCAGTTTGGTTCGGTTCAGATTTCCCCTCCCCCCGCAAGGTCAGGCCTGTGCGTCGTGACGTCACAGCACCACAAAAGGGAGCGTGAGAGCCGGAAGAAGACGCAGACAACTGCTCTTCCTCCTCTCTCCTCCTCCTCCTCTTCTCTCCTCTCTCTCCTCTCTCCTCTCTCCTCCTCTCTCTCCTCCTCCTCTTCTCTCTCTCTCTCTTCTCTCCTCCTCTCTCCTCCTCCTCTCCTCCTCTCCTCTTCTCTCCTTCTCTCCTCTCTCTCTCCTCCTCCTCTCCTCTTCTCTCCTTCTCTCCTCCTCTCTCCTCCTCCTCTCCTCTCTCTCCTCCTCCTTCTCCTCCTTCTCTCTCCTCTCTCCTCTCTCTCTCTCTCCTCTTCTCTCCTCCTCTCTCCTCCTCCTCTCCTCCTCTCTCTCTTTCTCTCCTCCTCTCCTCCTCCTCTCTTTTTTCTCGTCCTCTATCTCTTCTAAATTCTGGGTTCAGATGTGACAGACTGAAGGGAAAAGTCAGAGTCGTTCTGATCTACGAGAAGGAGACGTTCAAATCAAACATTTGGATTTGAGAACTATAATCTGGAACATGTGGGAATATCGTTTGTGGTGGAAAGGAAAAAACCCAAAGTTAAAAATCAAAGGAAATAACTGAATCATTTCAAATGACACAAAAGTTGAACAAACCTCCACGTAAAACCGAATCCTCTGAGACTTTAATCAATTTTATATTTACACGAGTCTGACCCCTGACCCCTAACCCTAAAAAAAAACGAAAGGCAAATGTTCACACGCCTAAACAAACAACATTAACCAAACAAACCTGAGTCTGCCCCAAGTCAAACCCTAAACCCGAGTCAAACCCTAAACCCGAGTCTAACCCTAAATTTGTTTTATGTTTTGATGATTTATCTGAAGTGACCTCTGACCTCTGACCCCTGCAGGTTTTACAGAAACTGGGAAAAGCCGATGAAACGAAAGACGAACAATTTGAACAAATCGTGATCAACTTCAGACGACAAGAGGTATGTCCTCCTCCTCTTCATCATCCTCTTCATCCTCCTCCTCCTCCTCCTCTTCCTCCTCTTCATCCTCTTCATCCTCCTCTTCCTCCTCTTCTCCCTCCTTTCCTCCTCCTAACCCTCTCCTCGTCGCTTTTGTCCTAACACTCTTTCTTCTTCAGTCTGAAGGTTCTCGTCTTCAGCGAGAGATGAAGAATTACATGGCGGCTATTAAAGGTGAGTTCAGCTCTGACTCCGCCCCCTGTGCGGTGTGTGCAAGCCTGTGATTGGTTGCTGTGAGTCATGTGTGCTGTGTTCTGTGTTCTGATTGGCTCTCGTCTCTCAGGGATGCAGCAGGCCTCCATAAACCTGACCCAGAGTCTCCACGAGGTCTACGAGCCCGACTGGCACGGCAAGGACGATGTGGTGCTCATCGGCAAGGTACTTACTGCAGACCGGGTTTAGACCGGGTTTAGACTGGGTTTGGACCAGGTTTGGACCAGGTTAGGATCGGGTTTAGACTTGGTTTAGTCTGGGTCTCTGTCTCTGTAAAGTCTCTGGTTTTTAGTGTCTTTAAAAAATGAAAAGTAGAAGAAGTTGATTTTAAACAGTTTGATCATGTTATTACACTTATTACACGTGTTATTACATGTGTGTAATTACACGTGTTATTACATGTGTAATTACCTGTGCGGTGTGTTCAGGACTGTGACGCGCTCTGGGAGGACTTTCATAATAAGATCGTGGACTCGACGCTGTTGAACCTCGACGCTTATCTGACACAGTTCCCCGACCTGAAGGTGAGACGTGTGTTTGTGTGTGTGTGGTGTGTGTGTGTATGTGTGTTTGTGTGTGTGTGTGTATGTGTGTGTGTGTATATATGTGTGTGTGTTTGTGTGTGTTGTGTGTATGTGTGTGTGTGTATATATGTGTGTGTGTTTGTGTGTGTTGTGTGTGTATGTGTGTGTGTGTATATATATGTGTGTATGTGTGTGTGTGTGTGTGTGTGTATGTGTGTGTATGTGTGTGTGTGTATATATGTGTGTGTGTGTGTGTGTGTGTGTGTGTGTTGTGTGTGTGTATGTGTGTGTGTGTGTGTGTATATATGTGTGTGTGTGTGTGTGTGTGTATGTGTGTGTGTGTGTTGTGTGTATGTGTGTGTGTGTATATATGTGTGTGTGTGTGTGTATATATGTGTGTGTGTGTTTGTGTGTGTTGTGTGTATATATATGTGTGTATGTGTGTGTATGTGTGTGGGTGTATATATATGTGTGTATGTGTGTGTGTGTGTGTGTGTGTGTGTATATATGTGTGTGGTGTGTTGTGTGTATGTGTGTGTGTGTATATATATGTGTATATGTGTGTGTGTGTGTGTGTGTGTGTATATATGTGTGTGTGTGTTGTGTGTATGTGTGTGTGTGTATATATATGTGTGTGTATGTGTGTGTGTGTATATATATGTGTGTGTGTGTGTGTATATGTGTGTGTGTGTTGTGTGTATGTGTGTGTGTGTATATATATGTGTGTGTATGTGTGTGTGTGTATATATATGTGTGTGTGTGTGTATATATGTGTGTGTGTGTGTGTGTATAAATGTGTGTGTGTGTGTATATATATGTGTGTATGCGTGTGTGTGTATGTGTGTATATATATGTGTGTATGTGTGTGGGTGTATATATGTGTGTGTGTGTGTGTGTATGTGTGTGTGTGTGTATATGTGTGTGTGTGTTGTGTGTATGTGTGTGTGTGTATATATATATATGTGTGTTGTGTGTATGTGTGTGTGTGTATGTGTGTGTGTGTAGGTTTGGAATAGAGTTCGGGTTTTACACTTCAGTATACAGTCTGTGGTGGTTTCTGTGGTTTCCGTGGTTACCGCGTCTCACGCTTGTTTCTGTGGTTACAGATGCGAGTGGCGAAGAGGAGCCGTAAACTCATCGACTACGACAGCGCTCGACACCACGTGGAGACGCTGCAGGCGCAAGGACTGAAGAACGACCGCAAGATGATGAAGGTACCACAGGAGCGCACCTGACACACAGGGAGCGCACCTGACACACAGGGAGGACACCTGACACACAGGAGGGACACCTGACACACACACAGGAGTGACACCTGACACACAGGAGCGACACCTGACACACAGGAGCGCACCTGACACACAGGGAGGACACCTGACACACAGGGAGGGCACCTGACACACAGGAGCGCACCTGACACACAGGGAGGACACCTGACACACAGGGAGGACACCTGACACACAGGAGCGCACCTGACACACAGAGAGGGCACCTGACACACAGGGAGGACACCTGACACACAGGCACCTGACACACGGGAGGACACCTGACACACAGGAGTGACACACTGACACACAGGAGCACCTGACACCTGACACACAGGGAGGGCACCTGACACACACAGGGAGGACACCTGACACACAGGGAGGGACACCTGACACACAGGAGGACACACAGACACCTGACACACAGGGAGGACACACACAATGACACACAGGGAGCGACACACTGACACACAGGAGGGACACACTGACACCTGACACACAGGGAGTGACACCTGACACACAGGCACCTGACACACAGGAGCGCACCTGACACACAGGAGAGACACACACAGGGACACCTGACACACAGGAGCGCACCTGACACACAGGGAGGACACCTGACACACAGGAGCGCACCTGACACACAGGGAGGACACCTGACACACAGGAGCGCACCTGACACACAGAGAGGGCACCTGACACACAGAGAGGGCACCTGACACACAGAGGACCTGACACTGACACACAGGAGCGCACCTGACACACAGGGGAGGACACCTGACACACAGGGACACCTGACACACAGAGGCACCTGACACACAGGGAGGACACACCTGAACACACAGAGGACACACACACACACAGGAGCGCACCTGACACACAGGAGAGGGCAACCTGACACACAGGACAGGGAGGACACCTGACACACAGAGCACCTGACACACAGAGCACCTGACACCTGACACACAGGAGCGCACCTGACACACAGGAGGGCACCTGACACACAGGCACCTGACACACAGAGAGGGCACCTGACACACAGGGACCTGACACACAGGGCACCTGACACACAGGGAGGGCACCTGACACACAGGAGCGCACCTGACACACAGGAGCGCACCTGACACACAGGAGCGCACCTGACACACAGGGAGGGCACCTGACACACAGGAGGACACCTGGACACCTGACACACATGACACACAGGGAGACACTGACACACAGGGAGCACCTGACACACAGGGAGGGCACCTGACACACAGGAGTGACACCTGACACACACACAGGAGTGACACCTGACACACAGGAGGCACCTGACACACAGAGGGAGGACACCTGACACACAGGAGGACACCTGACACACAGGAGGGCACCTGACACACAGGAGCGCACCTGACACACAGGAGGGCACCTGACACACAGGGAGGGCACCTGACACACAGGAGCGCACCTGACACACAGTGACACACAGGGAGGGCACCTGACACACAGAGAGGGCACCTGACACACAGGGAGGGCACCTGACACACAGGAGCGCACCTGACACACAGGGAGGACACCTGACACACAGAGAGGGGACCTGACACACAGAGAGGGGACCTGACACACAGAGAGGGCACCTGACACACAGGGAGGGCACCTGACACACAGGGAGGGGACCTGACACACAGAGAGGGGACCTGACACACAGGGAGGACATGTGACTCTGACTCTTTGTGTTTCAGGCGGACGAGGAGCTGAAAAAAGCTCAAAGAGTTTTTGAGGATCTGAACGTGGGACTCCAGGATGAACTGCCGACGCTGTGGGACAGGTGAGGTCAGGGTCAGGGTCAGGGTCAGGGGTCAGGGTCAGGGGTCAGAGTTTGAAGAGATTCACCGTTTTTTGTTTTTTTCTGTTTCAGTCGAGTTCAGTTTTACATCGACACGTTCAAAAGCGTCACAACACTCGAAGCAAAATTCCACCGAGAAATCTCAGTGGTGAGACGCACAAACACAACACAACACACACATATATACACACAACAACACACACACATATATACACACAACACACACATATATACACACACACACACACACACACACACACACACACATATACACACAACACACACATATATACACACAACACACACACATATACACACACACACACACATATACACACAACACACACATATACACACACACATATACACACAACACACACATATACACACAACACACACACACATAATATACACACAACACACACATATATACACACAACACACACACACACACTATATACACACAACACACACATATATACACACAACACACACATATATACACACAACACACACACACATATATACACACACACACACACACATATATACACACAACACACACACACATATATACACACAACACACACATATATACACACAACACACACACATATATACACACAACACACACATATATACACACAACACACACATATATACACACAACACACACATATATACACACAACACAACACACACACATATATACACACAACACACACATATACACACAAACACACATATATACACACAACACAACACACACATATATACACACAACACACACATATATACACACAACACACACATATATACACACACACACACACACACACATATATACACACAACACACACATATATATACACACACAACACACACATATATACACACAACACACACACACACATATATACACAACACACACATATACACACAAACACACACATATATACACACAACACACACATATATACACACAACACACACACACACAATATACACACAACACACACACACACATATATACACACAACACACACATATATACACACAACACACACATATATACACACAACACACACACACATATACACACAACACACACACATATATATACACACAACACACACATATATACACACAACACACACATATATACACACAACACACACACACATATACACACACACACACACATATATATATACACACACAACACACACACACATATATAACACACAACACACACACACACACTATATACACACAACACACACACATATATACACACAACACACATATATACACACAACACACACATATATACACACAACACACACATATATACACACAACACAACACACACATATACACACAACACAACACACATATATACACACAACACACACATATATACACACACAACACACACATATATACACACACACACACACACATATATACACACACACACACACATATATACACACAACACATACACACACACACACATATATACACACAACACACACACATATATACACACAACACACACACATATATACACACAACACACACATATATACACAACACACACACACATGTAACCACACACACACACATATACACACACACACACACATACATACACATATACACACAACACACACATATATACACACAACACACACACACACACACACACATATATACACACAACACAACACACACATATATACACACACACACATATATACACACAACACACACACACATATACACACAACACACACATATATACACACAACACACACACACATATATACACACAACACACACATATATACACACAACACAACACACACACATATATACACACAACACAACATATATACACACAACACACACATATATACACACAACACACACACATATATACACACAACACAACACACACATATATACACACAACACACACATATATACACACAACACACACATATATACACACAACACACACATATATACACACAACACACACATATATACACACAACACAACACACACATATATACACACAACACACATATACACACAACACACATATATACACACAACACAAACACATATATACACACAACACACACACACATATATACACACAACACACACATATATACACACAACACACACATATATACACACAACACACACACACATATATACACACAACACACATATATACACACAACACACATATATACACACAACACAACACACATATATATACACACAACACACACATATATACACACAACACACACATATATAACACAACACACACACACATATATACACACAAACACACACATATACAACAACACACACACACATATATACACACACACAACACACACATATATACACACAACACACACATATATACACACAACACACACATATATACACACAACACACACACATATACACACACACACACATATATACACACAACACACACACACACATATATACACACAACACACATATATACACACAACACAACACACATATATACACACACAACACATATATACACACATATACACACAACACACACATATATACACACACACACACACATATATACACACACACACACATATACACACAACACACATATATATACACACAACACACACACACACACATATATACACACAACACACACATATATACACACAACACACACACACATATATACACACAACACACACACATATATACACACAACACACACATATATACACACAACACACACACACACATATAACACACAACACACACACACATATACACACAACACACACACACATATATACACACAACACAACACACACACATATATACACACAACACACATATATACACACAACACAACACACACACATATATACACACAACACACACATATATACACACAACACACATATATACACACAACACACATACACACACACACATATATACACACAACAACACATATATACACACACACACACACATATATACACACACAACACACACACATATATACACACACAACACACACATATATACACACACACACACATATATACACACACACACACATATATACACACAACACACACACATATATACACACAACACACACATATATACACACAACACACACACACACATATATACACACACACACACACACACATATATACACACAACACACACACACATATATACACACAACACACACACATATATACACACAACACACACACATATATACACACAACACACACATATATACACACAACACACACACATATATACACACAACACACACATATATACACACAACACACACACACATATATACACACAACACACACACATATACACACAACACACACATATATACACATATATGTGTGTTTGATTGACAACTGTGTGTGATTGACAGGTGTGTTTGATTGACAGGTGTGTTTGATTGACAGGTGTGTGTTTGATTGACAGGTGTGTGTTTGATTGACAGGTGTGTTTGATTGACAGGTGTGTGTTTAATTGACAGGTGTGTGTGATTGACAGGTGTGTGTTTAATTGACAGGTGTGTGTGATTGACAGGTGTGTGTGATTGACAGGTGTGTGTGTGATTGACAGGTGTGTGTTTAATTGACAGGTGTGTGTGATTGACAGGTGTGTTTGATTGACAGGTGTGTGTGATTGACAGGTGTGTGTGATTGACAGGTGTGTTTGATTGACAGGTGTGTTTAATTGACAGGTGTGTGTTTAATTGACAGGTGTGTGTGTGATTGACAGGTGTGTGTGATTGACAGGTGTGTGTGATTGACAGGTGTGTGTTTAATTGACAGGTGTGTGTGATTGACAGGTGTGTGTGTGATTGACAGGTGTGTGTGATTGACAGGTGTGTGTTTAATTGACAGGTGTGTGTGATTGACAGGTGTGTGTGATTGACAGGTGTGTGTGATTGACAGGTGTGTGTGATTGACAGGTGTGTTTAATTGACAGGTGTGTGTTTAATTGACAGGTGTGTGTGATTGACAGGTGTGTGTGTGATTGACAGGTGTGTGTGATTGACAGGTGTGTGTTTAATTGACAGGTGTGTGTGATTGACAGGTGTGTGTGATTGACAGGTGTGTGTGATTGACAGGTGTGTTTGATTGACAGGTGTGTTTGATTGACAGGTGTGTGTTTAATTGACAGGTGTGTGTGATTGACAGGTGTGTGTGATTGACAGGTGTGTTTGATTGACAGGTGTGTTTGATTGACAGGTGTGTGTGATTGACAGGTGTGTGTTTAATTGACAGGTGTGTGTGATTGACAGGTGTGTGTGTGATTGACAGGTGTGTGTGATTGACAGGTGTGTGTGATTGACAGGTGTGTGTGATTGACAGGTGTGTGTGATTGACAGGTGTGTTTGATTGACAGGTGTGTTTGACAGGTGTGATTGACAGGTGTGTGTGATTGACAGGTGTGTGTGATTGACAGGTGTGTGTGATTGACAGGTGTGTGTTTAATTGACAGGTGTGTGTGTGATGACAGGTGTGTTTGATTGACAGGTGTGTGTGATTGACAGGTGTGTGTATGATTGACAGGTGTGTTTGATTGACAGGTGTGTTTGATTGACAGGTGTGCCGGCAGCTGTATGAGGTCATGACCAAACTGGCCGAACAACATCCAGACAAAATGTTCAACATCCAGGGGGCGCCGAGGTAAAGACCCACCAAGATCTGGTTCAGTCCTGGTTTAGTCCTGCTTTAGTCCTGGTTCAGACGTAGTTTAGTTCTGGTTCAGACCCTCTTTAGACTTGGTTTGGACCCGGTTCTGACACGGTTTCTCTGCAGTGACTCTGGACCTCTGCGTTTGGCTCGGACTCCGTCTCCTCCTGAGGACGATTCTCCTCCAGAATCTCCAGAACCTCAGAACCACCTGAGACCCGTGTCCCCCGGACCCCCCAGACCCAAGAGCCCGGTCCAGGTAAGACCGGGGCCGAGACCGGGACCAGAGACCAGAGACCAGAGACCAGAGACCAGACCAGAGACCAGACCAGAGACCAGAGACGAGACCAGAGACCAGAGACCAGAGACCAGAGACAAGACCAGAGACAAGACAGAGACAGAGACAGAGACCAGAGACCAGAGACCAGAGACCAGAGACCAGAGACCAGAGACCAGACCAGAGACCAGACCAGAGACCAGAGACCAGAGACCAGAGACCAGAGACCAGAGACCAGAGACCAGAGACCAGAGACCAGAGACCAGAGACCAGAGAGACCAGAGACCAGAGACCAGAGACAAGACCAGAGACAAGACCAGAGACAAGACCAGAGACCAGAGACCAGAGACCAGAGACCAGAGACCAGAGACCAGAGACCAGAGACCAGAGACCAGACCAGAGACCAGAGACCAGAGACCAGAGACCAGACCAGAGACCAGAGACCAGAGACCAGAGACCAGAGACCAGAGACCAGACCAGAGACCAGAGACCAGAGACCAGAGACCAGAGACCAGAGACCAGAGACCAGAGACCAGACCAGAGACCAGACCAGAGACCAGAGACCAGAGACCAGAGAGACCAGACCAGAGACCAGACCAGAGACCAGAGACAGAGACCAGAGACAAGACCAGAGACCAGAGACCAGAGACCAGACCAGACCAGATACCAGAAACCAGAGACCAGAAACCAGAGACCAGACCAGAGACCAGACCAGAGACCAGAGACAAGACCAGAGACAAGACCAGAGACAAGACCAGAGACCAGAGACCAGAGACCAGAGACCAGAGACCAGAGACCAGAAACCAGAGACCAGACCAGAGACCAGACCAGAGACAAGACCAGAGACAAGACCAGAGACAAGACCAGAGACAGACCAGACCAGAGACAAGACCAGAGACCAGACCAGAGACCAGAGACCAGACCAGACTACAGTCAGGTTTCACTTTTCCACAGGTTTGTTTGTTTTATAAAACAAGACGTTTGGACTTTTGTAGAAACAGAGCGGCTGTAGAGCGCCCTCACCTGGACACTCACCTGTACTACACTCCACAGTCTGCACCAACCAGGACTGAACCAGGACTGAACCAGGACTAAAGCCGGACTAGGCTCTTGGTTCAGGTTCTGGAAGTTTTGTTTGTGTTTTGTTTCTAACTCTGTCTGATTTTTCTGCTGCTGTTTCTCTGTTTCTGGTGAGTCTCAAACTCTCTGTGACCCCTGACCCCTCCCTTCTGACCCCGCCCTCTGACCCCTCTGACCCCGCCCTCAGACCCCTCTGACCCCGCCCTCTGACCCCGCCCTCTGACCCCTCATAACCTGTGACCGCTCGTGACCTCATGACATCATAGTTCACCTGTTGTGTCGTCGTCGTGCAGTGACGTCACTCCCCACCCTGACAGGTGAAGGGCCTGGCAGGTGAAGGACCTGACAGGTGCCTGAGTTTGGGGAGTGACTGTGACATTTGTGTCAATGTAAAAACTGTAGCGCTGTTTCCTCCTGTCTAACCCCTGACCCTTGACCCCTGAGGATCAGTTTGTGTCTGACCCCTGACCCTTGACCCCTGAGGATCAGGTTCTTCTCAGTCTTTGATTCAAACTGAATCCTGGAAACAGACTCATCCATCAGCTCAGACTCATCCAGGACTGGTTATGATCCAAGTCCAGGCCCATGTCCGTCTGTGGACTTCAGTCTGATGGATGGTTCAGTCCCGGTCTCAGCCCAGTCTTAGTCCCGGTCTTAGTCCTGGTCTGGTTCTGTGTTTCAGGTGAGAAAGGGTCCTCCCGTTCCTCCGCCGCCCAAAGTGTCGCCCCCAAAAGAAGAAACCATCATTGACCTGTTTGGAGGAGAGTTCCTGCCCGCGCCCTCGCCCTCCCACGTGAGTCCGGTTTAGACCAGGTTTAGACCGGGTTTAGGCCTTGTTTAGGCCTGGTTTAGACCTTGTTTAGACCTGGTTCTGCTCTGGTTTACAGCCCAATGAGAGACCTGGAGAGTCCCTGTTGGACCTGGATCTGGACGCGTTCCAGGTGGACGAGAGCGTGGCTCCGATCCCTCAGGTCTGGACTCAACCTTTATCGAACCATCTCATTCATCTATCACGACCCCTGACCTCCTGACCCCTGACCTGTGTGAGAGATGATTGGCTGTAGAGTGTGTGATGTCATCTGAGACACAGCGATTATAATAATCCTGTCTGCTCCTGTCTGCTCCTGTCTGCTCCTGTCTGCTCCTGTCTCTACAGACCACGGTGCCCTGGGACATGTGGACGGTGAGTCTTTCACACACACAACTGTTCTGATGGTTCTGTTTAGTTTTGATGGTTCTGTTTGGTTCTGATGGTTCTGTTTGGTTCTGATTCCAGGCAGATTCGCATCAGGACCAGGTGAGTCCGGACCCAGGACCAGGACCTAGACCTGGACCTGACCCTTTCATTTGTTAATTTTCTCTCTTTCATCGATCTGTCCATTCCTCTGTCAAATGAGTCTCCACAGTCCAGACCCAGTTCAGACTCAGACCCGGTCTGTGTCAGTCAAGATACAGACCACACACGGGCTCAGACAGGTGCACAGACAGGTGCACAGACAGGTGCACAGACAGGTGCTCAGACAGGTGCTCAGGGTCTAGTTCTGATCTGTTTCTCAGGATCCAGGATTCAGCTGCAACTGGGCCTCGTTTAGTGGCAGTGCAGACCTGAGACCAGACCAGGACCTGAGACCGGAGCAGGACCTGAGATCGGAGCAGGACTTGAGACTGCACCAGAGCCAGGATCCTGGTCTGGACCCAGGTCTGGACTCTGGGGTCCTCAGGAGAGAGTCCACTGAGTCCGGGAGACTGGTCCAATTTTTGAGACCAGCAAGTCCTGAAGGTTCTGGGTCGGACTACGAGACTGCGGAGGAGGGACCATCAGACACGCCCCAAAGTCCGGACCAGAGACCAGACCAGAGTGTTGACCTGAGACCAGACCAAGATCTGAGACAAGACCAGGAATTGAGACTAGAACATCCAGAAGACAAAGACCCTGAGATCCAAACAGATCAGGACCTGCTACAGGCCATAGACCAGACCCAAGGATCAGAACCACATCAGGACCATGTTTCAGATCCAGGCGACAGACCAGAGGGTCCCAGGACTGGATCAGGTCTGAGTCCTGCCATAGACCCGGTCTCAGGGTTTGATCCGGACCTGTTTGAGGCCGGGTTTAGTCCAGGGTTTGACCAGGATCCATTTGCTGAGACTAAACCTGACTTTGGACTGGACCTGTTTGGGTTTGAGTCCACAGCGGGACCTGGTCTTGACCCAGGACCCACAGAGTCCGGACTTCACTCTGACGAAGACGAAGCGACCAATCAGAGGTTGGGTTCAATTTACCAAGAACCGGACCAAGAACCGGACCAGGACCAGGTGTGAGACCAACCTAGACCAGCCTAGACCAAAGTAGAACTAAACTAGACCATTCTAGAGCCAGTCCAGTCCTTACCCAGTCCTCCTCCTCAGACCTAGACCAAGTTTAGTCCTGGTTTAGTCCCAGTTGAACCCTGGACGTTCTTTATAGTTCGATCCTTCACCTTTGTTAGTTTGTGATCGTGAAATCGCTCAGAATCCAGGATCTAGAACAGAAGAGAAACTAAATTCTGTCACTGAACAAAAGGTTTTTGGTCCAAAACATTTCTCAACTCGTCCAAGCTGCTTCTTCAGTCCTTGTCAGACGCTGGAGGACTCACAAACACAAACACCACCTAAAAGGACCTGAGTCTGTTGCACACCTCCACCTAAAAGCCTCAGGTCGCTCCTTTGAGGACAGTGAGGTTCAGATCTGAGGCAGAGAAAAGAAACAGTTTGAGAGGAGAATTAAAGAAGCTGTTTTTGTGAGGTACAAATCCTTTTTTAAACAGAAATGGACTCAGACATCAATCATCTGTCTCCATCTTCAACTCCATCCTCAAACCTAAAACACAGAGAACCACAGTCAGGTCCAGGTCAGGTCCAGAGGAGTGAAAACACTCATGCGCCTGAAGGATTCTGCTGATACGTCTCCACACTGAGGACAGTTGAAGAGGCCGAGCTACAAACACAAACTGTAAAGAGTGTGTGTCAGTGTCAGAGTAGTTTCAGGGCAGTGACGCCCCCTGCAGGCAGAGAAAAGAGAAACGTCACCAGCGTCTGACAGAACTGAAGAAGCAGCTTGGACGAGCTCAGAAACGTTTTCGACCAAATAAACTTTTGTTCTGTGATAGAACTGAATTTGTCTTTTACTCTCAGCCTGTTCCCTCTGTCACTGTCTGTCTCTTTGTGTGTGTGTCTTTGTGTTCTAAGTGTGTGTTGTGTGTGTGTGTGTGTGTGTGTGTGTGTTGTGTGTGTGTGTGTGTGTGTGTGTGTTTGTGTTCTAAGTGTGTGTTGTGTGTGTGTGTGTGTTTGTGTGTGTGTGTGTTAAGTGTGTGTTCTATCTATGCTGTTCTGCATGCTGTATGTAAATACAAATGTATATACACACGTACACATACACACACATATGTTCACACACACATAGAACACACACACACAAACCTACACATGCTGAGTGTGAACATGTGCGTGAACATGTGTGAACATGTGTGAACATGTGCGTGAACATGTGTGAACATGTGTGAACATGTGAACATGTGAACATGTGTGAACATGTGTGTGAACATGTGTGAACATGTGTGAACATGTGTGAACATGTGTGAACATGTACGTGAACAAATGGGTCGAGGTCTTAATCTCCGCCTCTTTTTCAGGCAGCCAATGGCTTCAACGGATTCTCCACGGTGAGCTCTGATTGGTTTGTTCTTGGAGCTGAGTGTGAGTTCTTGATTCTGATTGGTCTTTGTGTTTTCAGGAGGGCGGGGCTCCAGCGTTCTTTGCCGATTTTGATAAAATGGTGAGTGGGAGGGCATCTGACCCAATCTGACACACGGGGAGTGCATCTGACTCTTTTTTTTTTTTTTTTTTAAGAACCAGTCCGAGGCTCCGCCCACTTCACAAAGTGTAGAGTGGGCGGGGTCTACTCCGGGGGAGGAGCCCAAAGCAGAGGAGCAGCCAATGGAAGAACCTCCAGTGAGTCACATGGCCTCATCTGCCAATCAGCTCCCTCCTCCTCACAGCCCCTCCCACCTCGACCCCCGACCCCTGACCCCCGGACCCGGTCCATATCCCGGTCTAACCAAGTCCTGTCTTAGTCCACAGACTCGAGTCCAGCTCAAGTCCAAGAAGAACCAGAAAAACCAGAAGAACCAGAACCCGACTCAGAGCAGGTACTGACTCAGGTCCTGGGAAAATCTGAGAAACAGGACTAAAAATTATGAAACAAAATACAGAAAAACTACAAGATCAGGGGAAAATTTACCCCAAAATACTAAAATACTGAACATTTGGGGGGATGGGGAAAAAAGAAAATGCAAAAATAAATGAAATGTGTTTCTTCTGTTTCAGGCTGTGGAGGAGAGAGGAGCAGAAGAACGAGGAGCAGAGGAGGGAGGAGCAGAGGAGGGAGGAACAGAGGAGGGAGGAGCAGAGGAGGGAGGAACAGAGGAGGGAGGAACAGAGGAGGGAGGAACAGAGGAGGAAGGAACAGAGGAGGGAGGAGCAGATGAACGAGGAGCAGATGAACGAGGAACAGATGAAGAAGCTGAAGTTCAGAAAAAGGAGAGTCCAGTCGAGGAGCCTGTGAGTGTTCTGTTTATTCCTTCTCCTCCCTCTCCTCTTCTTTCAGAAACAGAGACAGGACTGTACCCTGGGGGGCTCCTACATTACTAACCACAGTATCAGACAGGGTGCTCCCTGTCACACGCACTGACACCTGAGCTGCTTCACTCATCACAAAGAGCTGGATTGTGTTAAAGGCTCGAAAAACAATCTCCTCACAGAGAAACACCATCCAGGAGCGAGGAGCCGCTGCAGAAGAGCCGCTGCAGAAGAGCCGCTGCAGAAGAGCCGCTGCAGAAGAGCCGCTGCAGAAGAGCCGCTGCAGAAGAGCCGCTTCATCCACACCGATACAGGACTAAAAGGAAAACTGTAGAGAATCTACAGACTTGGTCTGGTCCAGGAGACTTTAGATGAACTTTCCCCAGTTGTTTTCTCACCTGGGCAGGAGACAAAGAAACTGGACTGGGTTCCTCTGTGGAGGTGGGGGCAGAGGTGGAGGGGGTGGTCTGTGGTGAGGTGGGGGTTGGGCATCTGGGAGGTGAAGAGTCCACCTGACCAGGGGATGAGAAATGATTCAAATGCAGATTAAGAAGGTTTGACCTTCGGGGCGATTGTCCTGCTGCTTTGTTCTGGTGTTGAAGCCTGACCTTGTCTAAACCCTTCAGCTGTCGTTGCACCCTCTTCACCTCGTCCTTGTCTCCAGAGTTGAAGGATTGTTTTTATGAAGTAGATCCTTCAGCTGGCTGGTGATCCAGGGTTTGTTGCTGGAGTAACAGTGGACAGTGTGTGTGGGGACGACTCACAGAAGTTGATGTTCTCTGTTGTTCAGTCCTTCATGCTGTTGATGTTGTCTCCATGAGGCTGTCAGAGCTCATCCCAGTCTGTGGTCTCAAAGCTCCTGAAGAGCACGGCTGGCTTCCTGACTCCACTTCCTTACAGTCCTGGTGGTGCAGGCTGCCTCTTCACTGCAGGGACATACTGAGGTGTGAACAGGACAAGACTGTGGTCTGATCGTCCCAGTGGGGGCAGTGCCACTCTGTGCCTCCTTAGAACTGGCACACAGCAGGTGCAGAGTTCTACTGTCCCAAGTTTTACAAACCACATACTGGTGAAGTGTGGGTAAAACCCTGTCCAAGAAGGCATGGTTGAAGTCACCAGAAATCAGAAGAAAAGCCTCTGTGTGTTTGGACTGCAGCCCAGAGACCAGAGTGTGTGTCCTGTCACAGGAGCATCTTCATCCGCTGAAGCAGGGATGGAAACTCCAACAGGACACGAGTAACGTCCCTTGGTAAATAATATGGACACATTCCCAAAGACAAAAGTTCAATGTCCAGTGAACAGATCCGCTCCTTCAGGAGAGGGTTAGGGTTAGTCTCTGTCACGCACACTCCCAAAGCCTGGTACAGATGCACTGTTGTCTTGGAAGTTTGTGTGAAGCCGGGTTTCAGTGAAGCACATGATACTGCTGACAGCGCACTCCGTCTGGGTCCCAACAAGTGCACACAGTTCGTCCGTCTTATTTCCCAGTGACCTTACGTTCCCCATCAGGACTGACTGAACTGCACGCTTGAATTTCCTTCTCCAGTTTCACTTTCACTCCAGCTCAGCATCATCTGCGCTTCCTCCTCCGTAGTTCCACAGGGACGTCACGCTGAGCTCCAAACAGCACTGGGGCTACCCTGTTGTGCCCTGTTGTGCCCTGTTGTGCCCTGTTGTATCCTGTTGTGCCCTGTTGTGCCCTGTTGTATCCTGTTGTGCCTGTTGTGCCCTGTTGTATCCTGTTGTGCCCTGTTGTGCCCTGTTGTACCCTGTTGTGCCCTGTTGTGCCCTGTTGTGCCCTGTTGTATCCTGTTGTGCCCTGTTGTGCCCTGTTGTATCCTGTTGTGCCCTGTTGTATCCTGTTGTGCCCTGTTGTACCCTGTTGTGCCCTGTTGTGCCCTGTTGTGCCCTGTTGTGCCCTGTTGTATCCTGTTGTGCCCTGTTGTGCCCTGTTGTATCCTGTTGTGCCCTGTTGTACCCTGTTGTACCCTGTTGTGCCCTGTTGTGCCCTGTTGTGCCCTGTTGTACCCTGTTGTATCCTGTTGTGCCCTGTTGTGCCCTGTTGTATCCTGTTGTGCCCTGTTGTACCCTGTTGTACCCTGTTGTGCCCTGTTGTGCCCTGTTGTAGCCTGTTGTGCCCTGTTGTGCCCTGTTGTGCCCTGTTGTGCCCTGTTGTGCCCTGTTGTGCCCTGTTGTGCCCTGTTGTGCCCTGTTGTGCCCTGTTGTGCCCTGTTGTGCCCTGTTGTGCCCTGTTGTGCCCTGTTGTACCCTGTTGTGCCCTGTTGTGCCCTGTTGTGCCTGTTGTGCCCTGTTGTGCCCTGTTGTGCCCTGTTGTGCCCTGTTGTGCCCTGTTGTGCCCTGTTGTACCCTGTTGTGCCCTGTTGTGCCCTGTTGTGCCCTGTTGTGCCCTGTTGTGCCCTGTTGTACCCTGTTGTGCCCTGTTGTGCCCTGTTGTACCCTGTTGTGCCCTGTTGTGCCCTGTTGTACCCTGTTGTACCCTGTTGTGCCCTGTTGTGCCCTGTACCCTGTTGTACCCTGTTGTGCCCTGTTGCCCTGTTGTACCCTGTTGTACCCTGTTGTGCCCTGTTGTGCCCTGTTGTGCCCTGTTGTACCCTGTTGTGCCCTGTTGTCCCCTGTTGTCACTCATGTTGTGTTTGGTACCTTCAGGAGAAAATGGCGATCCCGTCCGTGGTGATCGAGCCGGCATCGAGTAACGAAGGCGACGATGATCGCGACGGCGACATCATCTCTCCCACCGTCGCTGCGGGCAACAGCTCTCCCACTGTCGCCGTGGGCAACAGCCCCGCCCCCAAAGTCCAGCACATCGGGCCCAGTGACGGAACACTGCCCCACGACTTCCTCTACAAGGTACACACCAGACTAAACCGGGTCTAAACTGGGTCTAAAACAGGTCTAAAACAGGACTAAACCAGGACTAAACCAGAGCTAAACCAGGACTAAACCAGAACTAAACCAGGACTAAACCAGGACTAAACCAGAACTAAACCAGGACTAAACCAGGACTAAACCAGAACTAAACCAGGACTAAACCAGGACTTTCTCTTTTTTCAGGTGGAGACGATGCACGACTTTGAGGCGGCAAATTCAGACGAGTTGGAGCTGAGCCGAGGAGACGTGGTTTTGGTGGTGCCCACGGTCAACCAGGAGGACCAGGTACTAACCCCTGACCTCTGACCCCTGACCTCTGACCTTTGACCCCTGACCTCTGACCCCTGACCATAGCCGGTTTGTCTGATCGGACGTAGCTGAGGCACGGCTCTTCATGTTTGTGTCGCAGGAGGCTGGTTGGCTGACGGGGATAAAGCTCAGTGATTGGTCGTCTCTGGGAGTGAGCGCTCAGCGAGGACTGTTCCCCGAGAACTTTGTGCAGCGCCTCAACTGATGACCCCTGACCCCGCCGTGACCCCGCCGTGACCCCGCTGTGACCCGAGTGTATCATCAGAGATATTTACATATTTAAATCTGCTGAGTGCTGAGGTCACTTCCTGTCTGAGTGTAGTGTGTAGTGCTCGTCCAATCAGCATGCAGCCCCTGACCTGTCACTCAAACATGGACCAATCTGAAGCCTCCAAGAGACGCCTGCTCCCATTGGCCCCAGAGCAGATCACATGACTCTGGAGAGTTTTAAATGTTCCTCTCCTCTCTCCTCGTCTCCTCTCTCCTTGTAGCATCCTCTCTCCTTCTCTCGTCTCCTTGTCTCTTCCTCTTTCCTTGTCTCCTCCCTCCTCGTCTCTTCCTCTCTCCTCGTCTCCTCTTTCCTTGTCTCCTCTCTCCTCGTCTCCTCGTTTCCTCTGCAGATAAATTGAGCTCTTGGTGTTTTGTTGTAGAAACAAATAAAGTTTTTCTTCCTCCGAATCCTGAGTCACTGTAACACAAATTACACACAAACTACACACTACGCACACACACACACTACACACTACGCACACACACACCTGTAACACACACATACCTGTAACACACACACACTACGCACACACATACCTGTAACACACACACATACACCTGTAACGCACACACATACACCTGTAACACACACACACACCACACACCCTGTAACACACACACACCTGTAACACACACACACACCCCTGTAACACACACACACACACCTGTAACACACACACACACACACACTTGTAACGCACACAACTGTAACACACACACTTGTAACACACACCCCTGTAACACACACACACGTAACACACACACACACACACACCTGTAACACACTAAGATAAATGACACGTGTCATGTTGTGATGTACAAGTTTTATTTTTCTCACAGTCAGACTTTACATGACTCTTTATGCATCAGGTCTGTGGAGGAGCGAGGACCAGACACTGACCTATCGACCTCGCTCCTCCACAGACCTGACGTTCCAAAGACGATATATTGATGATATATTGGTTTATTTCCTCTTTATGGTTATGAAACAGTTTTAAGACTTAAAACCCAGTGTTTGGTCAGTGAGTCCAGGGGGCGGGGCTAAGGGGGTTTAAGGAGAATATTTAAAGGGACAGTTTGGAATTTTGGACATAGGGCCTCATTTCCTCGTGGTCCAGGGTGTTGGAGGCGTGTGGAGACAGTTTTTGAAATAATCCATCCAGTCGTTGTATTTGCAGAGGTTGTTGGTGCTGGACTAGCACATGTCACTGGTGATAGTTACTCTGCCTCACTCAATCCACAAAACACTTCCACAAAACTTCAGACACACACGCCTGCACAACACAGCGCCATAAATCATGTATTATAATAATAATAATAATAAGATGTTTCATTGTTGCTGCTGAAAAATCAGTTTCCTTCAGGATAAATAAAGTTTTTTTCCATCATCCATTTCCTGCTGAACTGTTCTGTTCTGGTTTGTGATGTGAATAAAAAAAAGACGTCACATTTTCTCATTTAATCTGTATGAACCTGTTCCACTCGAGTCTTTAAGCTCAGTTCTGCAACCACAGCCGCCCTGGGGCAGACTGACCACCTGCACCATCGCCCGTACCACCACCAACACCACATCCAGACGACACAATGTGTGTGTCTTGCCTAAGGACACAACAACAGTCTGTACAAGAGCCACTGCTCCAGTCCTGCTCCAAAGAGACCAGTGTCCTCAGGAGGCCTGCTTTAGGCCTGGTTTAGGCCTGGGTTAGTCCTAGTTTAGTCCTGGTTTAGTCCTGGGTTAGTCCAAGTTTAGTCCTGGGTTGGTTAGTCCTGCTTTAGTCCTGCTTTAGACCCGGCTTAGACCCGGTTTAGTCCTGGTTCAGGAAGAGGGGGTGCAGAGACTGTGGTCCAAACAGCGGCTCCAGGTCCAGAGCGAGTCTTCATAGGAACCTTCTGCAGCACCATCTGGGCCAGAACAGAAGTAGGAGAGAATGAGGGAGGGCATCTGACACAATCTGACACACGGGGAAGGCATCTGGTGGAGTGGTCGTACCTGTGTGAGGCGGGCGTACCTGCGTGAGGCGGGCGTACCTGCGTGAGGCGGGTGTGGTCGTACCTGCGTGAGGCGGGTGTGGTCGTACCTGCGTGAGGCGGGTGTGGTCGTACCTGCGTGAGGCGGGTGTGGTCGTACCTGCGTGTGAGGCGGGTGTGGTCGTACCTGCGTGAGGCGGGCGTACCTGCGTGAGGCGGGCGTACCTGTGGGTCGTACCTGTGTGAGGCGGGCGTACCTGCGTGAGGGCGGGCGTACCTGCATGAGGCGGGTGTGGTCGTACCTGCGTGAGGCGTGCGTACCTGCGTGAGGCGGGTGTGGTCGTACCTGCGTGAGGCGGCGTACCTGCGTGAGGCGGGTGTGGTCGTACCTGCGTGAGGCGGGCGTACCTGCATGAGGCGGGCGTACCTGCATGAGGCGGGCGTACCTGCATGAGGCGGGCGTACCTGCGTGAGGCGGGTGTGGTCGTACCTGCGTGAGGCGGGCGTGGTACAGCGGGTCGGGCTGTAGGTCGGGCGGTGGGGGCAGCGCGTGGTTCCAGCGTCGTAGTTCTGTCTCCAGCTCCTCCACCGTAAACAGAACCACAGGATCTGCCCCAAGAACGTTCAGGAGGTGCACCAGACGCTCCACGTAATGAGACCTGAGACCAGACCAGGATTTAGACCAGAGACCAGACTAAAGACCAGACCAAAGACCAGACCAGAGACCAATACACTACACCACATTTCAGACAGACCCTCTTGAGACCTGGTTTAGCCCTGGTTTAGACCTGGTTTAGACCTGGTTTAGACCTGGTTTAGACCTGGTTTAGACCTGGTTTAGACCTGGTTTAGTTCTGGTTTAGACCTGGTTTAGACCTGGTTTAGACCTGGTTTAGTCCTGGTTTAGACCTGGTTTAGTACCTGCAGTATCCTCTGTACTCGGCGCGTTTTGCACACGGCTCTTCTGCGTCTCGGAGTTCAGGACACACTCCTGAAACAGACGAAGTAAAACGATTGGACGGAAGACTCAAACCCCACCCACTCTGAACCTAACGGCCAATTAGAAGAGACCAACCTGAGGAGTGGGCGGGGTCTGTGCTCTGATTGGCCAGTTCAATCCAAGCGGGACTCCCTCTGTAAAACTGACACAGGGAGGGCACCTGACATAATCTGACACACGGAGAAGGCACCTGACACACACACAGGGAGGGTACCTGACACACGTGGAGGTCATGTGACTCACCTGGAGGTCGCGTGACTCACCTGGAGGTCGCGTGACTCACCTGGAGGTCGCGTGACTCACCTGGAGGTCGCGTGACTCACCTGGAGGTCGCGTGACTCACCTGGAGGTCATGTGACTCACCTGGAGGTCATGTGACTCACCTGGAGCAGCAGGTGCAGTCGCTCCACGCTCCAGTCTCTCAGGTGATAAACACAGTTTCTGGGGTGATGAGCGTGAAGCCCCCGAGACGAGCAAGACACTGAAAACCCACAGGCCTGAGGAAGAGAACCAACAACCTGAAACTACTGCAATACTACTGTACTACAATACTACTGTACTACTACTACTACTGTACTACTACTGCACTACTAGCTACTACTACTACAGTACTACTACTGTACTACTACTACAGTACTACTACTACTGTACTACAGTACTACTACTACTACTACTACTACTACTACTACTACTACTACTACTACTACTACTGTACTACTACTGCACTACTACTACTTACTACTTACTACTACTCCTCTACTCAGATTTGTTCCTCGTGTTTGTTTGTTTGTTTGTTTATTCTGAGTTTGTTACATCTGCAAAACTCCAAACTCTCTGTTCCACCTTGTGATGTCATCAAGTGAACAGCTCCTTTTCCCTTTAGTTGAGTCGAGATCAAAACTCCAGGACTAAATCCAGATCCTGATCCAGATGATTCTAGTGAAGGTGTGTGGAGTTTAAAAACACAGTGGAGCACTTCCTGTATCACCACATGATGACATCACCAGGTGGCAATGTGTTTTCTGTTTGAAGTTTTTGTGTTAAACGTGTGAGAGGCATTTGTGAAAGGAAACAGGGGTCAGGGGTCAGTGTCAGGGGTCAGGGGTCAGTGTCAGGGGTCAGGGGTCAGTGTCAGGGTCGCACCTGTCCCTGGGTGAAGCGGCGGCTGCAGCCTCCACAAAACTGAGTCCCACAACGAAGACACGAGAAGTGAAGACACCCTCCTCTAGAACCGGAGAAGATCTCACCACAGTCCGGACACTCTGAGGAGACCAGACCCAGAACTGAACCAGGACTACACCAGACCCACAACTGAACCAGGACTAGAACTGAACCAGGACTACACCAGACCCAGAACTGAACCAGGACTACACCAGAACCAGAACTGAACCAGGACTACACCAGACCCACAACTGAACCAGGACTACACCAGACCCAGAACTGAACCAGGACTACACCAGAACCAGAACTGAACCAGGACTACACCAGACCCACAACTGAACCAGGACTACACCAGACCCAGAACTGAACCAGGACTAGAACTGAACCAGGACTACACCAGACCCAGAACTGAACCAGGACTACACCAGAACCAGAACTGAACCAGGACTACACCAGACCACAACTGAACCAGGACTAGAACTGAACCAGGACACACCAGACCCACAACTGAACCAGGACTACACCAGACCAGAACTGAACCAGGACTACACCAGACCCACAACTGAACCAGGACTACACCAGACCACAGAACCAGGACTACACCAGAACCCAGAACACAGACCCAGAACTGAACCAGGACTACACCAGAACCAGAACTGAACCAGGACTACACCAGACCCAGAACTGAACCAGGACTACACCAGAACCAGAACTGAACAGGACTACACCAGACCCACTGAACCAGACTGACCAGAACCAGGACTACACCAGACCCAGAACTGAACCAGGACTACACCAGAACCAGAACTGAACCAGGACTACACCAGACCCACAACTGACCAGGACTACACCAGAACTGAACCAGACTACACCAGACCCACAACTGAACCAGGACTACACCAGACCCAAACTGAACCAGGACTACACCAGACCCACAACTGAACCAGGACTACAGACCAAAACCAGAACCCAGAACCACTGAACAGGACTACACCAGAACCAGAACTGAACCAGGACTACACCAGACCAGAACTGAACCAGGACTAGAACTGAACCAGGACTACACCAGACCCAGAACTGAACCAGGACTAGAACTGAACCAGGACTACACCAGACCCAGAACTGAACCAGGACTACACCAGACCCAGAACTGAACCAGGACTAGAACTGAACCAGGACTACACCAGACCCAGAACTGAACCAGGACTACACCAGAACCAGAACTGAACCAGGACTACACCAGACCCACAACTGAACCAGGACTACACCAGAACCAGAACTGAACCAGGACTACACCAGACCCACAACTGAACCAGGACTACACCAGAACCGAACCAGGACTACACCAGACCCACAACTGAACCAGGACTACACCAGACCCAGAACTGAACCAGGACTACACCAGAACCAGAACTGAACCAGGACTACACCAGACCCACAACTGAACCAGGACTACACCAGAACCAGAACTGAACCAGGACTACACCAGACCCAGAACTGAACCAGGACTACACCAGAACCAGAACTGAACCAGGACTACACCAGACCCACAACTGAACCAGGACTACACCAGAACCGAACCAGGACTACACCAGACCCACAACTGAACCAGGACTACACCAGAACCAGAACTGAACCAGGACTACACCAGAACCAGAACTGAACCAGGACTACACCAGACCCACAACTGAACCAGGACTACACCAGAACCAGAATCGAACCATGACTACACCAGACCCAGAACTGAACCAGGACTACACCAGACCCAGAACTGAACCAGGACTACACCAGACCCAGAACTGAACCAGGACTACACCAGACCCAGAACTGAACCAGGACTACACCAGACCCAGAACTGAACAAGGACTACACCAGGGTCTGAACCAGGACTACACCAGGTCTAAATGTGTGAGTGTTACCGATGCAGTTGAAGAGAGGTCCAGTCCTGGTCTTGGTCTGGTTTCTGAAGTCTTCACAGGAAACGCCCTGATGCCCCGAAGTCCACTGCAACAAACACACAACACACACAGGTTTAAAACACACAACACACACAGGTTTAAAACACACAACACACACAGGTTTAAAACACACAACACACACAGGTTTAAGAAAAAAAATACTAGACACACACACACACACACACACAGGTCTGAGAACAACACCAACATTCGGTCCAGTTTTGGTCCGGTTTCATGTCTGGTTCTAGTCCAGATACAGTCTGGTTTTGGTGTGGTTTTGGTCCGGTTTTGGTCCAGTTCCGGGTCTTACCGGGGACCTGCAGCGGGAGCAGGTGGACTTGTTGCAGCTCGGACAGTCCATCTTCAGAGACCCAGACTCATGGACCACACCAAACGAGCACTAAGGAACCAGACCAGGGTTAGACCAGGGTTAGACCAGGGTTAGACCAGGGTTAGACCAGGGTTAGACCAGGGTTAGACCAGGGTTAGGGTTAGGGTTAGGGTTAGGGTTTGATTATTTGAGGATCATTCTGAAAGTTTAAAAGTGTGATGGAAATGAGTCACGATCATTTAAATTGTTCCATATTTGAACAACTGTTACAGCGCTGTACTTTACTGTTACAGCGCTGTACTTTACTGTTACAGCGCTGTACTTTACTGTTACAGCGCTGTACTTTACTGTTACAGCGCTGTACTTTACTGTTACAGCGCTGTACTTTACTGTTACAGCGCTGTACTTTACTGTTACAGCGCTGTACTTTACTGTTACAGCGCTGTACTCTGCGCTGCTCTGCGATGTAGTGTGTGTAGTGTCCTGTGTGTGTAGTGTCCTGTGTGTGTAGTGTCCTGTGTGTAGAGTCCTGTGTGTAGAGTCCTGTGTGTAGAGTCCTGTGTGTAGTGTGTGTAGAGTCCTGTGTGTAGTGTGTGTAGTGTCCTGTGTGTGTAGAGTCCTGTGTGTAGTGTCCTGTGTGTAGAGTCCTGTGTGTAGTGTGTGTAGAGTCCTATGTGTAGTGTCCCGTGTGCGTAGAATCCAGTGTGTATGGTCCCGTGTGTGTAGAATCCAGTGTGTAGTGTGTGTAGAGTCCTGTGTGTAGTGTGTGTAGTGTCCCGTGTGTGTAGAGTCCTGTGTGTAGTGTAGTGTCCCGTGTGTGTGTAGTGTGTGTAGTCCTGTGTGTGTGTGTGTAGTGTGTGTGTCCTGTGTGTGTGTCCTGTGTGTAGTGTCCCGTGTGTGTAGTGTCCCGTGTGTGTAGGGTCCTGTGTGTGTAGTGTGTGTATAGTCCTGTGTGTAGTGTGTGTAGTGTCCCGTGTGTGTAGTGTCCTGTAGTGTGTGTAGTGTGTGTGTCCTGTGTGTGTGTGTAGTGTGTGTGTGTAGTGTCCCGTGTGTGTAGTGTCCCGTGTGTGTAGTGTCCCGTGTGTGTAGTGTCCTGTGTGTGTAGTGTCCCGTGTGTGTAGTGTCCTGTGTGTAGTGTCCCGTGTGTGTGTGTAGTGTCCCGTGTGTGTAGTGTCCTGTGTGTAGTGTGTGTGTCCTGTGTGTAGTGTGTGTGTAGTGTGTGTAAAGTGTGTGTAGTGTGTGTAGAGTCCTGTGTGTGTAGTGTCCTGTGTGTAGAGTCCTGTGTGTGTAGTGTGTAGTCCTGTGTGTGTGTAGTGTGTAGTGTCCCGTGTGTGTGTAGTGTCCCGTGTGTAGTGTCCCGTAGTGTCCTGTGTGTAGTGTCCTGTGTGTAGTGTCCCGTGTGTGTAGTGTCCCGTGAGTGTAGTGTGTGTAGTAGTGTCCTGTGTGTGTGTGTGTGTGTAGTGTCCTGTGTGTAGTGTGTGTGTGTAGTGTGTGTGTAGTCCTGTGTGTGTGTCCTGTGTGTAGTGTGTGTATAGTCCCTGTGTGTAGTGTGTGTGTGTGTCCTGTGTGTAGTGTCCTGTGTAGTGTGTGTAGTGTGTGTGTGTAGTGTGTGTAGTGTGTGTGTGTGTGTGTCCTGTGTGTGTAGTGTGTGTGTGTAGTCCTGTGTGTGTGTAGTGTGTGTGTAGTGTGTGTAGTCCTGTGTGTAGTGTAGTGTGTGTAGTGTGTGTGTGTAGTGTCCTGTGTGTGTGTGTGTAGTGTCGTGTGTGTAGTGTCCTGTGTGTGTAGTGTGTGTATTGTCCTGTGTGTAGTGTGTGTAGTGTCCTGTGTGTGTAGTGTGTGTGTAGTGTCCTGTGTGTGTAGTGTGTGTGTGTGTCCTGTGTGTGTAGTGTGTGTAGTGTGAGTGTCCTGTGTAGTGTCCTGTGTGTGTAGTGTGTGTATAGTCCTGTGTGTAGTGTGTGTAGTGTCCTGTGTGTGTAGTGTGTGTGTAGTGTCCTGTGTGTGTAGTGTGTGTAGTGTCCTGTGTGTAGTCCTGTGTGTAGTGTCCTGTGTGTGTGTAGTGTGTGTATAGTCGTGTGTGTAGTGTGTGTATAGTCCTGTGTGTAGAGTCGTGTGTGTAGTGTGTGTATAGTCCTGTGTGTAGTGTGTGTAGTGTCCTGTGTGTGTAGTGTCCTGTGTGTAGTGTGTGTCCTGTGTATAGTGTGTGTATGTGTGTAGTGTGTGTGTAGTGTCCGTGTGTGTGTAGTGTGTGTAGTTGTAGTGTGTGTGTATAGTCCTGTAGTCCTGTGTGTGTAGTCCTGTGTCCTGTGTGTAGTCCTGGTGTGTAGTGTGTGTGTAGTGTGTAGTCCTGTGTGTGTAGTGTGTGTAGTGTAGTGTCCTGTGTGTCCTGTGTGTGTAGTGTGTGTAGTCCTGTGTGTCCTGTGTTAGTCCTGTGTGTAGTGTGTGTATAGTCGTGTGTGTAGTGTGTGTAGTGTCCTGTGTGTGTAGTGTGTGTATAGTCCTGTGTGTAGTGTGTGTAGTGTCCTGTGTGTGTAGTGTGTGTAGTGTCCTGTGTGTGTAGTGTGTGTAGTGTCCTGTGTGTGTAGTGTGTGTATAGTCGTGTGTCCTGTGTGTGTAGTGTGTGTAGTGTGTGTAGTGTGTGTAGTGTCCTGTGTGTGTAGTTGTGTGTGTAGTGTGTGTATAGTCCTGTGTGTAGTGTGTGTAGTGTGTGTAGTGTCCTGTGTGTGTGTGTGTGTGTAGTGTGTGTATAGTCCTGTGTGTAGTGTGTGTAGTGTGTGTAGTGTCCTGTGTGTGTAGTGTGTGTAGTGTCCTGTGTGTGTAGTGTGTGTAGTGTCCTGTGTGTATAGTCGTGTGTGTAGTGTGTGTATAGTCCTGTGTGTAGTGTGTGTAGTGTCCTGTGTGTATAGTTGTGTGTGTAGTGTGTGTATAGTCCTGTGTGTAGTGTGTGTAGTGTCCTGTGTGTGTAGTGTCCCCTGGGGGGGGCGCTCACATGTGAGCACCAGCAGAAGTGCCTCATCTGGACCAGGGCTCGGTCTCGGAGTTTCCTCTGGAACAGATCGTGCAGCTCAGGAGACAGGAAGTGCCGGATCTGCAACAGGTCACAGGGGGTTATAGTCCTGGGTTAGTCCTGGGTTAGTCCTGGTTTAGTCCTGGTTTAGTCCTGGTTTAGTCCTGGTTAGTCCTGGGTTAGTCCTGTTGTAGTCCTGTTGTAGTCCTGTTGTAGTCCTGTTATTGTCCTGGGTTAGTCCTGGGTTAGTTCTGGTTTAGTCCTGGGTTTGTCCTGGGTTAGTCCTGGGTTAGTCCTGTTATAGTCCTGTTGTAGTCCTGGGTTAGTCCTGTTATTGTCCTGGGTTAGTCCTGTTATTGTCCTGGGTTAGTCCTGTTGTAGTCCTGGGTTAGTCCTGTTATTGTCCTGGGTTGGTGTGGATGTCGTTTGGGTCCAGACCCACCTGAGTGTCCAGGAGGTTGAAGTAGTCCATGTAGAGGTCCAGGTCCTGGTCCTTGAGGTCAGGTTTGGCACAGAGAGGACACACAAACTGCTCCACGGACTTCTCCCGGATCACGGACGAAAACCAGGACTTAAAACAGGACTCACACAGAGAGCACGAGCAGTGGGTCATCAGGACCATCTGAAACAAGACAAGGACTAAACCAGGACTATACCAGGACTAAACCAGGACTAAACCGGGACTAAACCGGGACTAAACGTGGCGGCTCCCAGGGCAGCTGTGGCTACAGTAGTAGTTTACACCACCAAGTGTGGAGTGAATGAAGAATGAAGTGTAAATCTCTTTGGTGAATCTTGAAAGGCGACATATAAATACAATGATTAATTAATTAATTAAAACCAGTACTAAGCGCCGAACTACAAACCTTTAGGATATAGGACATAGGGGGTTAGGAGGTAGGGGATAGGGGATAGGAGGTAGGATGTAGGATGTAGAAGGTACCTTGCTGAAGGACACTTGCTCCTGGCACACGGGGCAGAGGTGTTGGAGGAACCTTTGCGCTGAGGACAGGTCCTCGTTCAGTCGCACCGCCTCCAGGAGCTCACCTGTGCTGAAGCCCCACCCCTCTGTGCTGAAGCCCTGCCCCTCTGTGCTGAAACTCCGCCCCTCTGTGCTGAAACTCCTTCCATGACTCTGCAGCAGCTGGAGGAACATCTGGAGCTTGTGTGGAGGCAGCTGTGACACCTGCAGAGACAAAGGGTTAAAAAGACCAAACCAGGACCAAACTAGGACCATGCAAGCACCAAACTAGGACCAAGCAAGCACCAAACTAGGACCAAGCCAGGGTTAGGTTTTCTCATATAAAATCGGGTTTGTCCAGTGGTTTTGTTTCTGCGGCAGTGAAAGTTTCTCTGCTCAAACTTGTGGTGCAGAGATCGTGTTTTGGAGGAGATCGTGTTTGGAGATTGTGTTTGAAGGAGATCGTGTTTTGGAAGAGATCGTGTTTGGAGATTGTGTTTGGAGGAGATCGTGTTTTAGAGGAGATCGTGTTTGGAAACCTTCGGGGGGAAGCAGTGGATTGTGGGATGTCTCAGAGGCTCCTCAGAGCTCCTCACAGCAGGTTGGGAAGCTCCTGGGTCTCCTCTGCTAAAGGAGTCATGAAAGAAAGCTGCAGGCTCTTTTCTTAACTCCTCCCTCTTTCACACTTACCTCCTTCTGCTCCTCGCCGCTCAGTCTGAGGAGGGGCCTACGGTTCTGACGGGGCTCTGATTGGCTGCTGACATGCCCTCTGAGCTCTGATTGGCTGCTGACATGCCCTCTGAGCTCTGATTGGCTGCTGACATGCCCTCTGAGCTCTGATTGGCTGGTCGTGGCGTGGAGTGTGAGGTTAGCCATGGCTCTGAGCAGCTGCGCAGGATCTGCACAGTTTCATAACAAAGAGAATTAATGAGATTGTTAATCCAGATCTATATATAACCTACACAAACATATACAACCTACACAAACATGTACAACCTACACAAACATATATAACCTACACAAACATATACAACCTACACAAACATGTACAACCTACACAAAATACATACACAAACATGTACAACCTACACAAACATATATAACCTACACAAACATATACAACCTACACAAACATGTACAACCTACACAAACATATATAACCTGCACAAACCTTTATAACATCTACAAATATATGTGACCCTATAAAACATATGTAAACTTATACAAACATAAAACCTATAAAACATACACAACAAATCTATAACACGGGCTGTTTGTGAAGTTTACAGCGACGTGCGCGCTCACCTGAGGGGGCGGGTCCAGAAGGGGCGGGGCTCTGGTTTTGATGGACAGGGCTGTGGGAGGGGCTAAAGTCAATGTCCTTCAGGTCATCCAAGTGCGACGTCTGCACCGGCACTTTACCAGATCCAGGACCAGGACTCGGACCAGGACTCGGACCGGGACTCGGACCGGGACTCGGACCGGGACCAGGACTCGGACCAGGACTCGGACCAGGACCAGAGCTTGACCTGCAAGGACACAGACCTCGTTGACTTCATATTTTAGGGGGATGAATGATAAATGTAAAAGCTGCAGTACCTGCCTCCACCTGCAGGGGGCGTGGTCTGAGGCGGGGGGAGGGGCCTGGCGTAAAGGGGCGTGTCCTTCTCAAACGCTTGCTTCATCTCAGAGATCAAAAGAACTAGACTGGACCGACCCTGAAACAAAACCAAGACCAGGACTCAGACTGGGACTCAGACAAGGACTCTGGTCTGAGTCCCGGTCTGAGTCCTGGTCTGAGTCCTGGTCTGAGTCCTGGTCTGAGTCCTGGTCTGAGTCCTAGTCTCACCTTGGTCCAGGTGTGGAGGCGGGATGAGAGGATGTTGCCGTGGGCGTCGACGTAGCGACAGTGAGGATTTATCGCCATGGAAACAGACGGGCAGAGGCAGCAGCGCGGACGAACGGACGGGTGAGTGTGGTGCAGCCACACACACACGGGGAAATTATACTCACAACCTGCACACAAACGCACAACGAACACACAAACACACAAATAAACACACAAATAAACCACAACAAACACACAAACGCACAACGAACACACAAATGCACAAATATAAAACACATAAACAAACACAACACAGAGTCGATGTGAGTTTGACTCTAAACACAGACTCAGGGTTAGATACACAAGCCCCAACAGACCTGGTTCAGTCCTGGTTCAGTCCTGGTTTAGTCCTGGTTTAGTCCTGGTTTAGTCCTGGTTCAGTCCTGGTTCAGTCCTGGTTTAGTCCTGGTTTAGTTCTGGTTCAGTCTTGGTTTAGTCTTGGTTCAGTTCTGGTTCAGTCTTGGTTCAGTCCTGGTTTAGTTCTGGTTCAGACCTTGGTAGGACACTGGGATGGTTCCAGCCAAAAACAGCAGTCGTCTTTTCTGTTTGTTCGGGAAACCTGCCACACAGAAAACACATCTGGAGTATTTACAGGTCTGCAATAGTAGTAGTAGTTGTAGTAGTTGTAGTGGTAGTAGTACTAGTAGTAGTACTAGTACGAGTAGTAGTATATTAGTAGAAGTACTTACAGTAGAAGTCGCAGTAGAGTCTGAGGTCTGAAAACACCGATCGAACCTGCTTCAGATCCACCTGCACCAGCTCCGGGTCAGAGTACTGCAACTACAGAGTAGAGAAAAAGTACTACAGAGTACACAAAGTACTACAGAATACACAGGAGCACTCAGAGAATACACAGGAGTACTCAGAGAATACACAGGAGTACTCAGAGAATACACAGGAGTACACAAGGCGCCGTCTCAGGAGAGAAAGCAGGTGCTGGTTCTATTCCCGCTCCTCTGTGGAGATGGTCACAGAATCAAAGGCTTTTATTTCATTACTGGATCATTTTTCACCATAAGAACGAAAACAACTGGTCCTGGTTTAGTCCTGGTTTAGTCCCGGTTTAGTTCCGGTTTAGTCCTAGTTTAGTCCTGGTTTAGTCCAGGTTTAGTCCAGGTTTAGTTCTGGTTTAGTCCAGGTTTAGTCCTGGTTTAGTTCTGGTTTAGTCCAGGTTTAGTCCAGGTTTAGTTCTGGTTTAGTTCTGGTTTAGTCCAGGTTTAGTCCAGGTTTAGTTCTGGTTTAGTCCAGGTTTAGTCCAGGTTTAGTTCTCTGTGTGTTATTGTCCAGCTCCTTTGATTTCTCTTGGTTGAATTTATCAATATTATTATTTATGTGCGCTTTATTAAATATTAATCTTTATAGTTGACGTTCAAAAATGTTAAATGTTATTACAAATTTATCTGTAAAGGCAGTTTTTTTATTGACATTAGTTTTGTAAGTTTAAACTTTATTTCCGTGTGTTTTTCTGAACGGACCTGAGCTAACAGGCTAACAGGCTAACAGGCTAACGCAGGCGCTGTCCCGGCTCCGTTTAAACTCGGATAAAAGAGAGCTTCCGGTAAAGTCCCGGGTAAAAGCCGGTTTCTCACCTGCGCCAGGACCCGCAGCTCCGTCTCGGCTCCAACTCTCAACATGTTACACGATTTACGCGGAAAAAAATACTTTTTAATGCGGCTAGCGGCTAACGGCTAACAGCTCCGCGGTTTCCGGCGCCGCCGCTTCAGAGTAAAAGCCCGAACAGGTCCGCCCGGTTTAGCCCGGTTTGACTCGGTTTGAACCCGGTTTGGAGCAGCTCTGAGTTTGTTTTGACTGTAAGTATGAGTCACATGTGTGCGTCACTTTCTTACAAACTTTTAAAGGGACATTAGACTTGAGGTTTAAGGTTTATGTGAAAAACCTGCTGTGTCCACGGTTCCCATGGTAACGAAAGTTTCAGAGTGTTTCATTAAAAGCGAGGCTGAGCATCAGGATCCACATGAAATTTGATTAGATCTGTTTTTTGATGTCATTATTATATAATTATCATTATTATATAATTATCATGACTATTTCTATGGCACAAACGTCTAAATAAAAGTGTAGTAGCGCCACAGGCCGCGGGGGGCGCAGCGGAGCACAGACACACAGGAAAAGACGAGCGCGCTGCAGGATCCGTGTCACCCCGGGTTTGGACCCGTGCGGACCCAAACCAGACCCAGACAGGACCCAAACAGGACCCAGACCAGACCAAGACCAGACCCAGAGAGTCTCAGGTGAGTGCCAGGGGGTTCGGACTCTGTGGACCCGGGTTAGACCGGGTTAGACCGGGTTTTGGTCGGAGCTAAAGCGAATCAGCTGTTTCACTGAACTTACGTCAGATCCACGCTGTCCGCTCACAAACCGTTTTGATTTGTTTTTAACGTTTAAACTTTAGCTCTTGAGTCATCAAATCACCAAATCATCGAGTCACCAAATCATCAAATCATCTTCAGTCTCATTTAGTCAAACTGTTAAAGAGCGAGGTGTGTGTTCACATATAAATACACACACACAGACAAACACACACACACGCAGACACACACAAACACACACACAGACACACACAAACACACACAAACACAGACAAACACACACGCAGACACACACACACACACACAACACACACACGACACACACACAACACACACACAACACACACACACAGACACACACACACACACACACAAACACAACACACACACACACACACACACACACAACACACACAGACACACACACACACATTCTGACATATATGTGTTTGTTGACAGTTCCTGGTCGCCATGGCGATGCAGACCGTCCTATCAGAGCGCGTGTCTTTGGCGCAGGAGCTGCTGCGGCGGGCGGAGCGTCTGACAGGTGCAGAGGGGCAGGTGAAGCTCTGTAACAAACTTCGCTCAGAACTCAAGTTCCTCCGACGCATTCAGAGCCGCGACCTGAAGGGGGCGCACGTCTACAGCTCCAACTGCACCCAGCTCCACGCCGTGGTGAGAGGGGGCGGGGTCAGGGGGCGGAGATCAGGGGGCTACAACTGCACACAGCCCAATGCTGTGGTGAGAGGGGGCGGGGTCAGGGGGTGAGAGGGGGCGGGGTCAGGGGGTACATACTTTGAGCTGATTGGGCGACCCACCTCGAAGTACCACCCACCAGTTTGTTTTTAGCCAATCACGGCAAACCTGTGAAAATGTCGTTTTCAACCTGCGGCAGGAAAAACCAAAACAAGAGTCATTTTGTAAAACAAACGACTGAGACATTTGTACTAAACAAATCTGAACATTCATGATGATGCCACTCTGATGATGTCACTCTGATGATGTCACTCTGATGATGTCACTCTGATGATGTCACTCTGATGATGTCACTCTGATGATGTCACTGTGATGATGTCACTGTGATGATGTCACTCTGATGATGTCACTCTGATGATGTCACTGTGATGATGTCACTGTGATGATGTCACTGTGATGATGTCACTGTGATGATGTCCACTGTGATGATGCCACTCTGATGATGTCACTGTGATGATGTCACTGTGATGATGTCACTCTGATGATGTCACTGTGCAGGTGCAGTCAGCGGAGTCGTTGCAGTCGGTCGTGGCTCTGCTCAGAGTTTACACTTTCACCGACGAACTTCAGAACAAGAAGAACCTCACTGTGGATGTGGTGGCAGGTACTAATACTATTACTACTACTACTACTACTACTAATACTACTAATACTACTATTACTACTAATTACTACTACTACTATTACTACTACTGCTACTACTACTGCTTCTACTACTGCTACTACTACTACTTACTACTACTACTACTACTACTACTACTATTACTACTACTGCTACTACTACTATTTACTGCTACTATTACTGCTACTATTACTGCTACTACTACTGCTACTACTACTGCTACTTCTACTATTACTATTACTGCTACTACTACTGCAGCTGCTACTGTTTCTTTGGCTGTGTCCCAATTCAAAGGGCTGCAGCCTCCGAAGGCTGCGAAGGCTGCAGCCCTTGAACTGGCCTCCGCGGACGCCAGGCCGTTGCGGAAATGGGACAGGTCTAGACCTCGGAGCCGCTCCCCTGTCGCCTAGCAACTGAGGGACGCTGCTAGCGCTAATGCTAATGCTAACACGCTCTGCACAGATTCCGCACACGGATCAGTAAAAAGACGCACAGGTCATCAAACTGTCGGATTTTGTGACCAAATTATTTTAATAATTCGCATCCAAATCTTATGGCCAAAACCGAAAATGTATGTTTAAATTTTGCAAAACAAAACGGCTATATTTAAGGGATACATTTTAAATAGACTAAATTATCTTAAAATTAAAAAAAAACTGTGATGAGATATGCATTACTAAATATTATCATTATTAAGGATTTTTATATTAACCAGGGATTACATTTATACAGTCAGTTTGTAAAGAAAGAAAGACATCTCTCCTGAGAAAAGATGATTTATTAAACAATCCAAGGAACTTCTGGAAATACTTTATCATAATATGAAGTCAAATATTAAACCCATTACACACACACACACACACTCTGCATTAACAAGTTAGTACAAACAGCTGTATGTCAGTAAATCTCATTGTGTTGCCTTTTTGCTGAAGCAAGTGACAATCAAAAATGAACAAATTATCTTTGCCAGATACGATCATGTGGAACACCACAGCTTTATCTGCAGTACAATAGTACATTCTTATAGTACATGTAATTAGTTACTATCAAAAGAGACATCAAACCAAATGGCACATTTCACCATAAATCAAATGTCAGTACAGACTGAAAAACATTCAGAAAAACTTATGAGCAGATGTTTTCATTTCTGTCTCACACACTTGTTCAGATCATATGAGACTCTGGACATGGACATTGGAGACATGGACATTGGAGACATGGACAGTGGAGACATGGACAGTGGAGACATGGACATGTGGAGACATGGACAGTGGAGACATGGACAGTGGAGACATGGACAGTGGAGACATGGACATTGGAGACATGGACATTGGAGACATGGACAGTGGAGACATGGACATTGGAGACATGGACATGGAGACATGGACAGTGGAGACATGGACAGTGGAGACATGGAGACATGTGGAGACATGGACAGTGGAGACATGGACAGTGGAGACATTGGACAGTGGAGAGACATGGAGACATGGACATGGAGACATGGACAGTGGACTTGGACCACTCAGTCTGATGTGTCTCTCGTCTTCTGGAGGAGGAGGAGCAGGTTGGTTGTTACGTCTGATTGATTCAAAGTTCTGTCCTGCAGAGTGAAAACCTGTAATGACAAACACATTAAGAAAACTACAAAACTATTAGAGGAAAATAAGTTTGACAGAACCTGCAGCCCCAAAGAACACCTGGACTCCCCCCGCACTATTTACATTTATTATTATTTATTTATTTATACACAAGGAAGTGAGAAAAACAATTTCGATTCTTTATATGTTTTTCGTATGAAGAATTGACAATAAACTATTTTAACGTTGAACTTAAACTTTGATGTACATTCAGATTCAAAGGCAGTTTATATCTGAAACAGCTAAATGAACAGAGGAATCCCACACATTTGAGAAATACATATTTTCACAATTTAAATCATAATTTCAACATGAGCATGATTCATTTGCAGCTCTTATTAGTACAATTTTCAATGTAACATGCCCCATACCTAATCGTTGGCAGGAGTCTGGGTCACACCTCCAGCTCAGTGTTGGCTTTACTTTGTCATCTGCATTTGACCCATTTTATGAATCACAAGCATCTTGTCAGTCAACAGTTCTGTGGCCCCTGCAGTGTGTCGTGTCCTCATACAGGAGGCTGCAGATGAGAAAAGAAAATTCATGTAAAACAGATTTCTCATTGTTATAACATTAGATATGACAGACCTAACAGACACAGTCAGGTCGTATCTACACCAGGTCGTATCTACACCAGTGTCTGCACAAATCTGTTAAACGAGCCTCATGTCCATCATAAATCTGACGTGTCCAGGCAGGATTATTTACTCTTCACTTTACAAACATGCACAGATTGTTAAAGCAGATCATGTTTCCCTGAATGAAATGCACACGTTGGACGTTTATATGATGTGATTTACAAGTAAATATGAGCTTTGATAGAGTCAGACTGAGTCTTTTCAGTTGAATGTATGAAATAATGTGTGTTTTCATCTTAACTTCGAGCTACACTGACCAACTGTTTACATGTTTACACTGTCCGTGAAAACGTGGAGTTTTCTCCTCGTAGCTTCTTTAAATCATCTGTGGGCTTCTTTTCCCCTAACAGTAAAAACATGATGAGTGTTTGATGGAAATGTGTCCAAATATGAAAGTTTGAGCGGACTTTTCATCGCATTAGCTGCACATCACTAGGCAAACTTTAGCTCAAAACTCCGCGGTTCACGCAGTTAAAAACAAACTTATTTGACAGTTTTGTGGGAGTTATGGTCGTATTTTACGTTTACAGTTGTGTTAGTAATGATTTCCTAAAGTTAAAAGTGTTACTCACATGTTTTTCTCCGCTCTCGGGACCGGCTTCGGGACCGGCTTTTTGCTCCGTGTTTTTGAACATGTGACTGCCGCCGCGCGGTGCATGCTGGGATACTGAAGGCTGCGAAGGATACTCGGATGTGTCCTCCGTTCGCGGCCCCATCTCCATGGAAACGAGGCCGGTTTTAGGGCTGCATTTGAAGGCTGCATGACATAAAAATGAAATGGAACAGGCCTTGTTTCACCGGAAGTGACGTATGCGGCCTTAAAACCAGCCTTCAGAGGCTGCAGCCCTCGAATTGGGACACAGCCTTTGTGTTCACGGGGTTAAAGTCAGGTTCATGTGCTGTTGGGTTCGGGCTGTAATGATGTGCACAGGGTCATAGGTCAAAGGTGGGGGGTGTAATGATGTGCACAGGGTCATAGGTCAAAGGTCGGGGGTGTAATGATGTGCACAGGGTCATAGGTCAAAGGTCGGGGGTGTAATGATGTCCACAGGGTCATAGGTCAAAGGTCGGGGGTGTAATGATGTCCACAGGGTCAAAGGTCGGGGGTGTAATGATGTCCACAGGGTCATAGGTCAAAGGTCGGGGGTGTAATGATGTCCACAGGGTCATAGGTCAAAGGTCGGTAATGGTCACAGGGTCATAGGTCAAAGGTCGGGGGGTGTAATGATGTCCACAGGGTCATAGGTCAAAGGTCGGGGGTGTAATGTCTAGTGTCTCTGCGTGTGCACAGACGGCGGGCTGCTGTGGGTGAAGGCCGTGGGGCGTAAGGCCGAGGCGCTGCACGCCGTGTGGCAGGGGCGGGGCCAGTTTGGAGACCGCTCTGTGATTGGTCAGGCTCGAGAGTTCTTATTGGCTGCCTCGCAGCACCCGCTGCACTACACCCGCCCCCGCGTCCTCTTCGCCTTCTACAACGGCGTCTCCCGCCCCGTGGCCGAAGAACTGCACCGCCTCGGGGTCGGCGTGAGCGGAGAGGTCATGGAGGTCAGGGGTGCGGAGCCAGAGGAGGCGGAGCCAGAGGAGGCGGAGCCAGAGGAGGAGGAGCCAGGTGAAGGCGACAGGTGAGGACAGCAGCTTTTATCTTTATAAACTCAACATGTTTGACACTGAGATGTTTTCCACAGACGACTCCACGCTCCTCAAATAGGCCAGGACCAGGGCCAGGACCAGAGCCAGGACCAGAGCCAGGACCAGAGCCAGGACCAGAGCCAGGACCAGAGCCAGGCGGCGGGTCTTACCTCTTCCTCAGAGCACCACTCCTCAGATTTGCTGCAGCTCTACCAGGACTCGGACCAGGACTCGGACCAGGATTCGGATCAGGATTCGGACCAGGACTCGGACCAGGACTCGGCCCCTGGGTCTCTGACCTGTCTGGACCGGTCCCGGGTGGTGTCGCGGTTGGCGTTCCCTGCTCCGGCTCCGCCTCCTTCCTGCCCGCGAGTAAACCTGGACGTGTCCACGCTTTTGTCTCTGGTGTCGTCGCTGACTCACGGGGGGTGTGGCCTGGCGTTCAGGGAGGCGGTGCTTACGGAACAGGCAGCGGACGAGCGGCGGGCGCCGATCCTGCCGGTGCTGGAGGCGTTTATGGCGGGGAAGGAGCTGGTGGCATGCGCCGCGGCGGTCCGAGATTTCAAAGAGATCCTGAACACGCTGGGCGGGGAGAAGGAAAAGGAGCGAGCCAATCGACTGTTGAGGCGCGTCGCCGTCGTACCCGACCAGCCTTCGCCGCGCACGCTCGCCCTCACGCCCAGCTCCGCCGTCTCGCCACGCTCTGTCGCCATCTTTGGCACCGGCGACACTCTCCATGCCGTTACCATGACCGCAAATAGGAAGTTTGTCAGAGCGGCGGCCAATCAGGGCGTCCACTTCAGCGTCTTCATCCACGAACCGCGAGCGCTCACTGAAGGCAAAGAGTGGAGAGCCACGCCCGTCAAGGACTAGACCCAGACCCAGGCTGGGATCTGGACAAAGTGACTCACACGAGGATGATCAGAATCACAGGAACTGAAGTGAACAGACGTTCTGTTCTGTTCAAATAAATTTAGTTTCAGACTTTTCTTTGTGGAGAAATAAGTTTGTACAAAATGTTTAAGTTTGACATTTTCTCAAAAATAAAACTGAAATGAATTCACTGACTGGGTCTGAGGTCAGAGGTCATCCAGAGGTCATCCAGGGGTCATCCAGGGTCATCCAGGGGTCATCCAGGGGTCTTATTCTTTAATACCACAGACTGTATCTGTACAGGAACAAATATAAAATAAAACTGTGTAAAGATTAAAATAGAAGAATATTCTAAAAAGTTGTGTCAAACTGAACCAGGTCATTGTTTTATAAAAATTAACATCTACAACCTGCAAGAAGGAAAACAAACAACAGACGTTACTGGAAGTTTAATGCTAAACTTTTACAACATGACGACTATTGCAGTAAAATGAGCAGAATTATTCGAGATATAATGAGTAATGTTTATATTATAGGAAATATATAAAAATGAAAATGAGAGAATTTCTTCAGTTCAGTAAAGACTTCATTAAAAAACACAAGAGTACGAGTGTAAATGACGTGGACGACGGAGTCCAGAGGAAAGTTCGTTGGTTTTGTAAAATTCAGAAAAATGAGGAATTCAGTGGGAAACAGGAAAACAGACATAAGATTCAGGATTGAACTCTACGTAAAATATGAAAACATAAACCTGCGCACCGTGACGACTGTGACAACAGAAATGACAGAACAGGTATTTATGGAGCGTAGGAAATGTACGGGCGAAAGAAACAAATGACCGAGAGCGTAAACATGAAGTTTGATTTGGTGGAATTATTTTCTCAGAGATATTAATTCAATGAACAGGATTTGATTCATTATTTTGCTTTAGTTATTATTTTATCACTGTTGCTGTTAGTATTATTTATTTTATTTTATTCAGTGTTGGGAAGGTGACTTTTAAAATGTAATCCCCTACAGATTACAGATTACACACACCAAAATGTAGTTTGTAACAGAATCCATTAAATGACTTCAAGTGAGTAATGTAATCTGATTACTTTGGATTATTTGATTTGTTGTAGAGAAACAAAGACGAGGAAATCTTCACATAAATCTGCTAAAAGACGATAAAAAAGCCCAGACTTTACTGAACCGTATTAAAAATATTATTTATAGAAGAGGAGGAGACACGGTCCACGCAGCATGGTTTAGTCCTGGTTTAGTCCTGGTTTAGTCCTGGTTTAGTCCTGGTTTAGTCCTGGTTTAGACCTGGTTTAGTCCTGGTTTAGTCCTGGTTTAGACCTGGTTTAGTCCTGGTTTAGACCTGGTTTAGTCCTGGTTTAGACCTGGTTAAGACCTGGTTTAGTCCTGGTTTAGTCCTGGTTTTAGTCCT